TTTTTCCATGGTACATAATCAGACATATTTCAATATCTTACATTGTCAATAGATATCCCTTTCTTACCCCCTCTTCCAGGTTTGGATGAACAGACCAACCAGAACCACAAGACCGCCATGGGAAAGTCCCTTGACGGGTAACAGGAACGGTGGGAGTACAACCTGAAGGTCATTCTCTTTGCACACAACAGCTTCCAGGTCTCCACCGAGTACTCGCCCTATCGCCTGCTGTACGGACGGGAGCCGCAGCTGTTGACTGAGGTAAACGATGCAATTGTATATACAATTATTGCATATACTGTAGTCTTAAAAATGTGTGATAGACTTAGTGTTGTTGTTTGTCTATTGCTATGTTTGTATAACTTACTTTCAGATCACTGAAATTGTCGAATCAGATCAAAATGCCTTTGAGGACCACCTTCAGGCACGGGCTGAGAAGGATGTGGAGGTTTTTTATCAGGTAAAAATGATTGTCCACTGTTAATTAATTTTTCTGGCCTTCCAAGAGATACGTAAGAAATGTATTTGTAATAATATGAAACATGGCCTCCCGAGTGGCGCAGCAGTCTAAGGCACTTGCAGTGCTAGAGGCGTTACTACAGACCCAGGATCAATCCCGGGCTGTCCCACACGGCCGGAAGTCCCATAGGATGGCGCACAATTGGCCCAGCGTTGTCCGTGTTAGGGGAGGTTTTGGCCGGTGGGGCTTTACTTGACTCATCGTGCTCTAGTGACTCCTTGTGGCAGGCCGGGTGCCTGCAGGCTGACCCCGGTCGCCAGTTGAACTGTGTTTCCGCCGACAAGTTGCTGCGGCTGGCTTCCGGGTTAAGGAGCGCGGTTAGGCGGGTCATGTTTTCGGAGGACATATGACTCCACCTTCGCCTCTCCTGAGCCCGTTGGGGAGTTGTAGCGATGAGACAAGATCGAAAAAGGGTGTAAAATACAAAAACATTAAATAATAATATGAAACATAATTGCATTTATTTCTGTTATCAATCAGGTGAGACTGAACATCGACAAGGTGCAGTAGAAACAGAAGGAGAGCTACTGAAGGAGAATACAAAAGGGTTAGGGGCTTCGACATCCGGGCAAATTACTTGGTTTGGAAGAAGGGCGAAAGGAAGGCGAGACCTGGAAAACTTCGCTGCTCTTTCACTCCTAGCTGGGGTCACCATCCATTAAGGTAAATATAGAAATCTCAGATAACTATTTGCATTTGCACACAAAATAACCTGAACACTGAAATTTGTATCTTTGTATTCCTAGGGTTACATCGGTGGAAGCCAACAATCTTCTCCAGTTGGACGGTCGACCACTGAAAGCCCCGACTCCCTACACATTCGTGAAACCCATGAGACAAAGTACAGTGAGGGGAAAAAAGTATTTGATCCCATGCTGATTTTGTACGTTTGCCCACTGACAAAGAAATGATCAGTCTATCATTTTAATGGTAGGTTTATTTGAATAGTGAGAGACAGAATAACAACAACAAAATCCAGAAAAACGCATGTAAAAATTTTTATTAATTGATTTGCATTTTAATGAGGGAAATAAGTATTTGACCCCCTCTCAATCAGAAAGATTTCTGGCTCCCAGGTGTCTTTTATACAGGTAACGAGCTGAGAATAGGAGCACACTCTTAAAGGGAGTGCTCCTAATCTCAGCTTGTTACCTGTATAAAAGACACATGTCCACAGAAGCAATCAATCAGATTCCAAACTCTCCACCATGGCCAAGTCCAAAGAGCTCTCCAAGGATGTCAGGGACAAGATTGTAGACCTACACAAGGCTGGAATGGGCTACAAGACCATCACCAAGCAGCTTGGTGAGAAGGTGACAACAGTTGGTGCGACTATTCGCAAATGGAAGAAACACAAAATAACTGTCAATCTCCCTCGGCCTGGGGCTCCATGCAAGATCTCACCTCGTGGAGTTGCAATGATCGTGAGAACGGTGAGGAATTAGCCCAGAACTACACGGGAGGATCTTGTCAATGATTTCAAGGCAGCTGGGACCATAGTCACCAAGAAAACAATTGGTAACACACTACGCCGTGAAGGACTGAAATCCTGCAGCGCCCGCAAGGTCCCCCTGCTCAAGAAAGCACATATACAGGCCCATCTGAAGTTTGCCAATGAACATCTGAATGATTCAGAGGAGAACTGGGTGAAAGTGTTGTGGTCAGATGAGACCAAAATGTAGCTCTTTGGCATCAACTCAACTCGCCGTGTTTGGAGGAGGAGGAATGCTGCCTATGACCCCAAGAACACCATCCCCACCGTCAAACATGGAGGTGGAAACATTATGCTTTGGGGGTGTTTTTCTGCTAAGGGGACAGGACAACTTCACCGCATCAAAGGGACGATGGACGGGGCCATGTACCGTCAAATCTTGGGTGAGAACCTCCTTCCCTCAGCCAGGGCATTGAAAATGGGTCGTGGATGGGTATTCCAGCATGACAATGACCCAAAACACACGGCCAAGGCAACAAAGGAGTGGCTCAAGAAGAAGCACATTAAGGTCCTGGAGTGGCCTAGCCAGTCTCCAGAACTTAATCCCATAGAAAATCTGTGGAGGGAGCTGAAGGTTCGAGTTGCCAAACGTCAGCCTCGAAACCTTAATGACTTGGAGAAGATCTGCAAAGAGGAGTGGGACAAAATCCCTCCTGAGATGTGTGCAATCCTGGTGGCCAACTACAAGAAACGTCTGACCTCTGTGATTGCCAACAAGGGTTTTGCCACCAAGTACTAAGTCATGTTTTGCAGAGGGGTCAAATACTTATTTCCCTCATTAAAATGCAAATCAATTTATAACATTTTGACATGCGTTTTTCTGGATTTTTTTGTTGTTCTGTCTCTCACTGTTCAAATAAACCTACCATTAAAATTATAGACTGATCATTTCTTTGTCAGTGGGCAAACGTACAAAATCAGCAGGGGATCAAATACTTTTTTCCCTCACTGCATGTTAAGCTTTGGTTGACATTTGAGAAAGCAAGTTTCAAGTTTTTAATGTCACATGCACAAGTACAGTGAAATGCCTTCCTTGCAAACTCAAAACCCAACAATGCAATAATCAATAACAATGTATTACTAGAAAAAAGCACACGAGAAATAAGAAATACACAATTAAGTAAGTAAGCATACTATACTGTATACAATAAATATTTAAAAAGTCAGTTCCAATACCGTATTTACATGTGCAGGGATACTGGAGTGATGGAGGTAGATATTTATAGGGGTAAGGTGACTAGGCAACAGGATATAAGAAACAGAGTGGCAGCAGCTTGTGGGTGTGTAGAGTCAGTATAAATGTATGTGCATAATATGTGCGAGTGAGTGTTTGTGTGTGTTGGAGTGACAGTGTATGTGAGTGTGTAAGGCCCTGAGTGTGCATAGATACAGTGCAAATACTGAAATAAAAGGTCAACTCGGTCGGTGTAGCTATTTTGTTAGCTATTTATCAGTCGTATTGCTTGGGGATAGAAGCTGTTCAAGAGCCTGTTGGTGTCAGACTTGATGCACTGGTACCTCTTGCCGTGCGGCAGCAGACAGAATAGTCTATGGCTTGGGTGGTTGAGGTCTTTGACGATTTCCTGGGCCTGCTTTTCACATCGCCTGATATAGAGGTCCTGGATGGCAGGGAGCTTGGCGCCAGTGATGTACTGGGCTGTCCTCACAACACTCTGTAGCTCCATGCGATCAAGGGCGTTGCTGTTGCCATACCAAGCAGTGATGCAGCCAGTCAATATGCTCTCAATGGTACAGCTATAGAAACTTTTCAGGATTTGAGGTAGTTATGCTGAGTTTATAAAAAATGTACCTCTTCAATTTACCTCTCCAAATGACTTTAGGACCATTGACTGTCCGAGCCACCCAGGAGGTACCTTGCAAAACTATTCATCCCCCTTGGCGTTTTTCCTATTTTGTTGCATTACAACCTGTAATTTAAATGGATTTTTATTTGGATTTCAAGTAATGGACATACACAAAATAGTCCAAATTGGTGAAGTGAAATGAAAAAAATAAATTGTTTCAAAACATTCTATAAAATAAATAACGGAAAAGTGGTGTGTGCATATGTATTCACCCCCTTTGCTATGACGCCCCTAAATAAGATCTGGTGCAACCAATTACCTTCAGAAGTCACAATTGGTTAAATAAAGTCCACCTGTGTGCAATCTAAGTGTCACATGATCTGTCACATGATCTCAGTATATACAGTGGGGAGAACAAGTATTTGATACACTGCCGATTTTGCAGGGTTTCCTACTTACAAAGCATGTAGAGGTCTGTAATTTTTATCATAGGTACACTTCAACTGTGAGAGACAGAATCTAAAACAAAAATCCAGAAAATCACATTGTATGATTTTTAAGTAATTAATTTAGCATTTTATTGCATGACATAAGTATTTGATACATCAGAAAAGCAGAACTTAATATTTGGTACAGAAACCTTTGTTTGCAATTACAAAATAATACCGATGATAATAATACCAATTATAATTATCCGTCTAGTAATGGGGGAGTCAAGGGGGAAAAAATGGGCCTTGTAGGGGTCTCAAGGAGTTGGTGTGTTTGAAATGCCAGGGCTGATTTCTGGTCCCAGTCCGCCCCTGCCCCTCATTGTGGTCCTCCTCCAATGCTTTGAGTAAAACAGTCACAGTAAATGGTTGGCTTATTAGAAGATACTTTATTATTTTGCTTTCAAAAAATGATATACAAAATAGCAGAAGTAACATTGTGTATTAATTACAAACATAACAAAAATAACAAAACTATTTATGTACATTTCATTTGTCCAATATTTTATTTGCTTTGTTTTAATTCGCTCCAAACTGAGGCGCATTCACAATCCAAGAGCTGCACTGAAGCACCAGGCGCTATTCTGTCATGAGCCCAGTATCAGAACTACCTGTAGTGTCTCGGGATTTACAGTGGCTTCCCTCAGATGAGATTCACTGCAGGTTGCAACAGAATCAGTTTAGGGTTAGGGTCACTTATCCTTCTCTCCCCCACTCTCTTCTTCATAGTCATCATCGGTATCTTTCTTCAGGGTGCAGCTCAGTACTGCCTTGCGGATCTCGGATCTCTCTGCTGCACGTGGAAAGACAGAAACAAACAACCACAGTACAATTTGTTCAATTCTCAGTTCAATGGTTTGGCACTTGCATACAAATTATAGCTTCTCTAACCTGGTTGTAGCCTATTCAAAAATGAATAGATTACTAGGTCGGCATATTGCCTGCAATGAGAAAACTAGGCATGGGTAAGAGGAACTGTGATGTACAAAAATTAAGCAGACCATTGGATACCTTCACCCTGACATAGGGGGAGCATCCAATGGATCTGCTGAGTATTGTATCGAACCAGAAACTTCTGACATGTCCGGATCGTTCCTGCATAAAATAATAACAAGTAGACATTGTACTTGCAGATAGTTGTGCTCAGGACCACTGATTTGTTTTTGTGATGTTGATGACAGAACTAGAGCTGGGATATAAATGCATGCCACTTGTGTCCATGTGTCGCTTTTACATCCCAGATATCAGTTACAAATTGTTCATGCAATGGGAAGTTGGTCTGTCTTACCTCCCACATGCAAACAGTTCAGAAAACATGGCACTCTTTCCCCTCGATTCTCTAGACTGAGAGCAAAGCAGACCAGATGAGTCTGTAGTGGCTTTTCCAACAGCACAGGAACACAATTCCAGTGTGGGCATTCAGATATTTCACTGAAAAATATGTTTCTAAATTACTTTTATGAATATAATTATACTCAGCCTTTTTTTTTTTTTCCTCCATAGGGTCATCTGGGGTGCAGCGCCCACCCTGGATGGAGAGCAATTTGGGGTTAATTGGCTTGTTCAAGGGCACAGCGGCTGTAGTTCGTACCCGAAATCAGCAGCCCCCAAGGCGCAAATTCAATTACCGCAATATCACATATCTAATAATGTTAGGCTATAACGTTAATCTCTGACAATCTGAAATGCGATCGTAAACCTAACTAGTTCTACAAATCTAGCATAGTGGGCTACAAGCCCTTTTCAAGTGTATGCTATTGCGTCATGGACGTTGTTACTCAAGCATGGGCGGTGTGTTCAATAGGGCGATATGGGCGACGCACTGCCAAACGGGAAAAGGAAGGGTTTTTTTTCTAATCAATTATATCATGGCAACAGTAGTTCAGTGTTCACGTCTGATCTGCCAGCCACTAAATGTCCAATCAGGCTAAAGTCGTGCTTCAAATGTCCCCGCCCGTTTTGGGGCGATTTCAGTCAGGTTGAAAATCGCCCAGAAGTCTCTCATAGCCTCTAATGTAAAATATTTTTTTTTCAAATTTCTGAGCTTTCAATACATTCTCTATGGGTGTCTGAGGGCTTGCACTTACGCGCTTTCGTCATACGTAACGTAACGTAACCATGAACGGCAGACAGCAACGCTTGGACAGCGACTGGTGTAACCGACATGCACCATCTTTCAGAAAAGATTAAGAAAAATGAGCTGTCAAAGACCCACATTGTCTGCTTTGGTGAGAGTGAATATTGCCACTCAACTGGATGAGGGATACAGGCTAGCTGTCCGCCGCCACAACGATGAGGTTAGCAACAGCAGAGTCGTGAACACTGTCTACGAGAATCGAGACGACCTCATAGAATGTTTTGAAGCCATCCGGACGGGTTCATTGGGTTCATTTGACCAGCCCACCGTACCAGAAGCTACAGAATAAGGACATCGATGCTGTCTTTATCAAATGTGCCCTCGACAGCTTCGCAAGCAGTGTGCAGGCCATAAGGTAAGATAAAGATTAAACAATATCATTCGATCTTTCTCAAAGCAGAGCTTTATTTGAAAATGTGTGCATGAAAGGAGACTGCATTTGTGTTTGAAATTACATTATTGTCATTATATATGGCCAGTGGTGTAATCTATCTTATTTTATATACTATGTGTACTGTACAGTGGTGCTCATAAGTGTATGAACACATTCTAAAGCTGACTAAAAAGAGGAATAAAAAAATAAAAAAATCATCTTTTGGAAATTGATCTTAATGACTTAATTAAAAAAGTTGGAAAATCCAACCTTTAAGGACACCAATTTTCTTTTCTTTTTTATTCCTCTTTTTAGTCAACTTTAGCATGGGATCATAAGCTTATGAGCACCACTGTATACTGTGCTGAACATCCAGGCTATGTGAGACACAAAGGCTAACTTAAACACTAAAGACTTGATGCATCCCTGCCCATTTTAAGTGGAACTGAAGTATTTGTACTATACATGGATACATTGCATATACCTGTGCATCACATAGACAACAATACTGTACAAAGCCAACAAACACATTGGTATGTTTGCCTTCAGGGACTCCTCTCAACAGCAGCTGCAAGAAGCAACAGGAGCCAAAAGACCCAGAACAGCTTTGAGAGAAGAGGAGAAGCAGAGGATGTCTGAAGAGGTCTGCAACACCATCCTGGATCACAGGATGGTGCCACCTTGTGAGTGCTACCTTAGTGCAAGCAGACATGTTTGAAAGGTACTGCCATTCAAAAAAATAAAAAATCTGTTCATGTTCATTTTTACAAATCTATACAATTGGCCAGAATATGGTTGTTCATATTTACAAATCTATACAATTGGCCAGAATATGGTTGTTCATTTTTACAAAGCCATACATATTGTTTATGCAGTGTTGAGGAATGTGAAAGAACACCCTTGATTATTTTTACTGTGATAACTTATTTTGCTTTTGTAAGCCAACACTTTTGAGATCAGTCAATAAATGCTTCTGGTATTGACTTATATGCTGCCCCTGTCTTCATGTTGTTGCTGGACATATCTTTTTAAAAATGTGTGTAGGTCACCTAAATCATCAGAAAAATTGCCCCTCCTGAGAATTTTTTCAGGAGCCGCCACTGTACTCAAGTGATCAATCACATTGTCTAACACAATCTGGACTAATTCCCTTCATAAATACCTGAGAATCCAAGGCTGGACAGTGCAGCGCCATAGTCACCGTGCGCTCGAGACACTGCTGTTTTGGCTGCAGGGTAGATGGCTCGGTCATCTACCAGTGACAGATTACTTCGATCTGATACGCAAATATCTGTGATGAAAGAAGTGTGATCAGTAGGCGACAGACGGGAGAACTTCAGACTTGTACATATTATCAAGACGTAAATACGAGATATTTTACCTGAATTTCATTCGCACCATCTCGCTCAACACATGTCCATGAAACTGTAATTATTATTTCGTGTTGTGTAATTCAACGAATGGCAACTCGCAGGTGGTGGGGTTTAAGATTAATTGACATCATGATAAACCAATCGCGATCGTTTAACAAAATAATTGTACTGCGCATATGCACGCTGTGAGGCGCTCGAGTCCAGACAACATTTTGCTTGGCTTCTCCCAAGAGAATAAATTACTACTGTAATACTATTTACGTTTTTGACTCGATATACAATGTTTTTCCTATTGACTGAAATGTAGTTTAAATTGACAAGTGTTTTTTTAATTTTATTTTCCCTCATAAACATTTTTTAGCCAGACCATCGACAATAAAGTGTCAGCAACTCAGCATAGATGTACAGTACTTGCTAGCTGTTGGTTTCTGATGATAGTGGTCCAGGTGTTGGTTTTTCTGCACCACGTTTTTCACACCAACTGTCAAAACTTGTAAACGCCTAGCAAGAGAAGATCATTATTTTGATCTGGTAGAGTCGGCTGAGAGAGGAAAACCCCACCTGTTGCTTGAAAACTGCAGAGTAAAAGAGGGAAAACAACAAGAGAAACACAGATACATAAGAAACAAGATAAAGCGAAGGTGGTCACATTGTAAAGGAATTTACTCCTTTATGAACCACTTTTGGTTAATGCAACAAAAAAAAGACACACCGGACACATTGCCCATAGTTTCACAAATTTAATAAATTGAGTTTCAACAAAGGAAAACCAAAAACAATTGTCCAATAAACATATGTGATTATATACACTATTTACATCTTTACAAATTGATATCTTTCTTTCAAAACACAACACTGATAAGTTAATATATTCAAGCATTTGCTGAAGTGCACAGAACCCCATACACGTTGGGGTATTATGTATATCAAAAATGGTTTTATTTTGCATCACAACATTAAAGATAATGTTTTATTTTGCAAAGGGTTATTGCAAAAGTTATGTAGTGAAGACATCACATCCACTGCCTTCACATATCAATAATAAAAGTTGACATGTTGCCCTTCGAGAGATAAACGCAGCTTCATAGACTTGAGGACATTAGAGACAACATGGAGATGGGGTTATGGAGAAACTCAAGGTAAAATGTGAGTGTCTACTATCCTGGTTTGTGTCATCTTTATCTGTACGAGAGAGCAATGAATGGAGCGTGTAATTGGTGGACTCCATTGTGCTCACAAGACACCTCCACTCCCCCCCTGTCACAATTCAGGGCCAAGCCCAGCTCCATAGCGGTCAGCAGGGGGCCCACCCCCTCCCCCAACAGATCAGCATTGGTGTCCTGCAGAGACCATGGAGCTCCTGGCCTTTCTCGTGGACCCCTGCTTGAAAGCTCCCCCACTTTCCGCATGTCAACCAGACTTGGCTCCCCTCTGGCACCACCAGCTGCCTCCTGAAGACCTTGGAATAGGAACAGCAGATCCACTCGAAGCTCCAGGATGTTCTCATTTGACCCAAAACTGTATCTGTGGAATAAAAAGGTTAAGACAGGACCCACAGTACTTTAGCCTAATAATTACAACTTTCAGTTTCCATTGACATGGAATACAGTTATATAAAAAGTTGAGGTATGACAGCTAAGTGAGTGTGCCATCACGTCAACCAGGACTCTTACCGTGTGGGAAGCTTGCGTTTTGCCATGTATGGAAGAACAGGCTCAATGTTCAGGTGTTGAGGATTCAATACATATAGATGAATCTCAGCTCTCATGACTGTCACTGACAGAACATCCTGACTGAGAAGGAACTCCAAGTCTGTATCTAGGGTGGGAAAAGATCAACAAAATAATGTAAGGCCTAAATGAAAGCACTACCACTCAGAATGTGACAGTGTCCCCGTTCCTTAGTAGAATAATTTATTCATTTATATTTTCTATAAAACCCAAGCCTAAAAGGAACTTTTTAAATGGACATTCTCTATAGTAGGTCTAGGTCTACATACTAATTTAGTCCAAGAGTAGGCTTAATAAATGGCTAAGAATCTACTTCAAATGACTGGATTTAGATTCTTACCTCCACTGATACGACCCTGAATCCCTTTGACGCCTCTGCAATGGAAACCTAACTGACAGCAATGATAGACCCGTCTGACAAAACGGAATAGTGGTTGCTCAGGAAAGACTGTGCGCCGTAAACCTCCTTGGGGCATTGAACCCACCCGGAGACGATGAAGCTGTGCTAATTCCATCGGGTACGCGTTGGTTTCCATCCAAGGCGCTGACAACAATGCGCAATGTTGCCGCTGCGTCTCCTCGTTCTCCCGTCGCCATCGTCTCAAGATATCTGTGGGTGAAGTATTGGGTCCATCCTGAAAAGCGGATGACTTTGACAGTAACTCCTGCACGGCGCGACACTGTACTCCAGTTAAATTAGTAGTCACAGATAAGAAAATAATGGCAATCCAAGAGCATGTGGTATAAGCCATGGTGGTGGGTCCGTAGTTGGAGAGCTCCACTAGTTGTACCAGCTCCGTCCAGTGGTGCGGTGTATCTGAAAAGGACCGCTTATCTGCGTAGTTTAAAGGGTATGCCCCCACTGACAATGGGGCATTCTGCCACTTAGAATTTTAATTCTGTTTCTCCACCCCCCTGTTTTGTTCGTGCCCCTAACTACCCATTTGCACCCCACTGGCCCATAAAATGCGTTTGCATAATAAGGCACCCCGAAAACACCGACTCCAGTCATTCAAATTCAGCTACCCCGTATCTAATGACCCTAATTACACTATATTTGGACCATCAAGAATGGTCTCATTTGCTAGTCTCGAAAACCCAACCATAGGCAACTGAGTGATTGTGGACTAGGCTTGGGTTTTCGAGACTACTCATTTCCAGGACAAGAGGCACAGAAACCGAGATTACTTTCAATTTGGATAGATTTACGCACGTAGAGTCCAGTTATCTTAAATTTCATGAAAACGTACATTTAGGCATTGTTCGTCCCCTTCACCCAAAGCAATATAATTACCATGATAACAATTGGGGTCAGTGTTCGTACTTTAGTGTTTGTAAAGTGCTGCGGGCGCCCTTTCTATGTTTAGCTTGAGCTGAATGCCTGCTGCTACAGTACTATCGATATGGCACTAGGGACCACGGTGGCCCCTGTAGTTTAAGAGTACAATGTGCAGCTCATTTAGGCAAGACAAGATCCATACATCGTTAATTTAGAGTGGATATATTGTAAATAATCATATTTGAATAACTCCATTTGAAATAGTTTGCTTGGAAGGAAAAGTGCTTGCCATATGACCAAGACATGTATTGAAAGGGATTTTTTCATATTTTTTTTTTTTTTAAGTATCAGCCATTCATTATTTTTTCTTGTTACAAACAGCAGTCAATCTTTGTAAGCAAAGCATTCATGTGCCCTATTAATCAAAGAGTATGAGATTTAGTGTATTCAATGGCATTTGGCTTGATTTCAGAGGTGGTCAAAATCAACTCTACAATGAAAACCCAAGAGTACACTCTCAGGACAGAATATTACGCTACAGAACACTAAAATAATTACATGGTATCTATAATTATATACAATACGTTTTTCCTACATAAAGTATGTCATTGGGTACAACATAATATATATTTTTAAAAATACATTGTGGGTGGTGGTGAATGATTCAGTGGTGGCTGATTTTCTTTATCCAAATGAAAAGGATTACAGTGATTAGGAAACCCAGCAGCCATGATGTCGTCATGATGTTTGTACATTGAGAATTGTTACGCAACATCTGTATAAGCTCATATTTACATTTTAGTCATTTAGCAGACGCTCTTATCCAGATCGACTTACAGTTAGTGAGTGCATACATTTTTCATATTTTATGTGATGTGTTGGTTTGGAATTTCATTATATATTGTGCAAAATGTATTTGCAGTGTTGACAGAGATCATGGTCCTCTGCATATTAATACAACACAATGTAGGACTTGACCACAGTTCTTGTAAATAGTTTAAGTTCCTATAATTATTTACACAGTGTGTTTATCTTAGAAAAATGTTCAGTGTAAGTTCTTGTTTGAAATTCATTTAGAGAGAACCATATTCAGAGAAGTGACTGAGTAGACAGTGGTTCTGGTGGAACTCTCCTTGCCACGATCAGTCAGAGCAGGTTAACCCTGTGTTTCTGTAACCTGTGTCGGGCCTTGCTAGGCAGAGAGAAAGCACTGTCCTGGTGGTTGGGGATGCCAGAGTTTCTCACCGCTCCGCCTTGCTGCAGGAAGTACGTCTCCTGGGCCACACTGCGGGTCCCGTACACAGCTGCACCCGCACTCCTGTATTATAAACATAAGACACATTACAACTCAACACAAACACTCAGGGATTTATCTTAAGATAATACAAACTGCATAATGATGGCCTGTTCCCCTTCCCCCATCATCTGACTTGAGGAGGAGTAATGCATGTTGAGAGAGCCCCCTGCCAGTCATACTGACCTGACAATAGCCTCCTGCAGAGCTTCAGTGTGAGAGAAATGCGAGTGGAGCAGCGATGTGGCTCTCACAAAAGAACGGTCCTGGGCTCCCCCTGGCCTGCCAGACAGGTTGCCTGCAGGGACACACAGCATAGGCACTCATTACAAATACCACACAAACATGGATGACCATGAAAGTAAAAGACAGAGGTGGTATATACACTATACAGCGTCCTACTAACTCATATCACAACTAAGTACTACAAAATGCCCCAAGATTCCCCAATCAGCTAACACACATTTCCACAAAGTACCACAGTCCCACAAAATGTCCCAAAACATCCCAATCAGCTACTGCAAAGCACTGAGCTTACTACTCACTCCAGCAGTAAGGTCAACACTGGGAAACAGAGAGACAGGGAAACATGCATATCAAAAACAATAGACAAATAGAGAGAGGAAAAAGGTAAAAGTCAGATAGGACAGCTGGAGAAAAAAAAAACTGGACTATGGAATGGAGTGGTTTGATAAAATTACAGAGAGCTTTGAGAATATTAGTGCCTCACTTGTGAGTGTGTTCTGTATACAGTCAAAGTGTGCAAAAGTGTAGTGTCCCTGAGGGCCAGAGGCCCCCGGAGCAGTGGTCCTCAGATGTGCCTCCAGTCCATTCAGAGATGCCAGGCTTCTGAGATACTGGGGATAAACCACAGGTTGATAGCTGATTAAATGGTTTGACAAAATATCAAACTGCTGTAATAACATGTAGGGCAATAGTGGAGATATTCAATTTCATTTTCTAACAGTTGAACACAGGTGGTTGTCCAGAAGGGGAAAACTCTTGTGAAACACTCATTCATGAACAAACATTCATATCCCTCCCATATTCCCCAACAGTTCCTCACCACTTCCTCTGTGGCTGTAGTGTCGCTGTGGAATTGTGGCTCCACCAGTAGGGCCAGTACCAGCTCTCTCACCCTGTGCTGGTACAGTGCCATGGGGAGCAGGGGGGCATCTGTAGAGTTCTCACAGGGCGAGGTGGGGGGCAAGCCACCAGTGTCAGCCTGCTGGACTTTACTCCCCTGTCGTGCCTTCTCCCTAAACACCTTATCTACCACATTCCCCATCCTCTGACTGCCAGGCGCTCGGGACTCCTGACCGCTGAACCTGTGGGCTGCAGCCTTCTCTCCACCCAGTGCAATACTACCTCCATTCTGTCCATTGACGTGACGTGTGTCGTTGTTTTGCATTGACTTGCCTCCTCCTGCAAGACCTGACTCATTGCTCCCACCCTTTATGTTGTTAATACTGGGGTCGTACGAACCTCCTGTGACACCCTCTTCCATCTCATGGGACAGCTTTCCATTGGACAAGGTATGATGAGAGGTCTCTGGAGCGATCTTGATAGGTGAGGGGCTGAGAGGGCCAGGAGTGTGAAATGAAGGACTTGGGCTAAATAGCAACTCATCAGATATGGATGACTGGGGAGTGGCGGGATAGTGGAGGGTAGTGGGTGGGGTCAGGCGGATTAGTTGTCGGTGTGTCAGATAGGGTTCTTGACAGGAGGCGGGACTTCCTGGGCCGCTTTACCTCCTTTGGAGTATATTGGGTAGAATGGGATCTGTAGGACAGAGAGTCTCAACAATTTACCCTCACATCAGGGTTGCAACCATTCCAAACTTGTCTAACCCTAACTTTCACTTGACTTTGACCTTACTGTAGCAGGATGGAACGTATTATACCTTACTCTAGTAAGAGTGTTTACCAGAAAAGGGTCACACTTTATTTGGATAGTCTGGATTTTCCATCTGTAGATGCTCTACAGATGGTCATACTATCAACAAACTATCTGTTGACAAACAACTGCTTGGTAAGGTTACGGTTAGGTTTAGAAAAAGGGTTAGGGTTAAGTTTAGGGTTAGAGCTAGGGTTAGTAGATAGATAGTTGAAATGTTACTGATAGTCTATAGAGCATCTACAGATGGACTATCCAAATAAAGTGTTACCAAGGAAAGTATTTCTAAAGTGGAGGATGGAGGTGGGTTTCTTCCTGAGGGGGGGTGAAGTACCTGGATGCTCTGTCCACAGGAGAGGAGCGCAGATACTGTACTTCAGTGGTGGTCAGGAACACAGTGGTGGTCACTGCGCTAAATAGAGGAGTGCTACCAGAAGAGCTGGAGGAACTCAGTCCATCGGGTCTCTGGTCCTAGAGCAAAGTATAAGCAAAAATGTATGGCAAGGCCTGTTACTTAACAAACTGCTGACTTTGTAAAACAATCTAAAGCATAGCTTTTGTATTAAGATATTGATGCATAATACAACAACCCAACTCAGAAGGAACCTCAACAAATTAAGATGTAAGATGATCACAAGATGATTTGTAAAATCTGAAAGGAGAGAAGCACCTAAATTATCAGCCATTGTTATCTGGTTGTACCTGGTTGAATGTTTCAGTTTCATGAACCATGACTTTCACTGTGAGATCAGGGGGCATCTGTGTGCTGACAACCCTGCGGAGCAAAGACACGTTTTTTGAGACAAGTATATACAGTTAGTGTCTGATTCTAATCTGTGGTTAACTATTCCAGTCCTTTGGTACTGCAAAGGTCAGACAGCTTACCTCCCACGATAGAGTATACAACCAGCTAACACTAGAAGGCAGCGCTGACAGGCCTGCAGAATGAGGGCAGCCTTGAGTAGAAGAAGTGGGTCAATCTGAGAATCAAAATGAAGCACATGAAACAAGGAAATAATTGCCAGGCTAGGCCAGAAGTAAATAAACTTAAAAGATCAATGAAATAAATCAGATACATGGTAATTGTGGGCCTTTAATAAAATAAGCAACCGTATGATACTATCTGAGGTAGTAAACCTTATCGATATATCAACAGACTTCTTATTACTTACATGTGTAGAGTCAATGGTGCTCACGCAACTGAAGATGTGATGGAGTTCAGTGGAGCCTCCTTGTAAGTGGTAGAGGTACTGTGCCCATCGAACTGCTAAATCTTGCTGACTGTAGATCTAAATGCAAGGCAAATCAGAGGGAGACATATTTAGCGTTAGGAAAAAATTATTCCTTGTTTAACACACATCTATGTGAAATTAGGACATGATATGGATATGACAGACTGCTGCACACAGCTAAGATAAGTGTTAGAGATGACAGTACCTGGTAACTCTGGCGAATAGGGCCGTTATAAAAACTAAAGTGATTTATCAGCTGATCCAGGAAGTCACAGATACTGATGTCTGGTATTTCCACTGAACAGCTTAAGGCCTGAGAGAGAGCAACATGGAGAGTAATTATGACGTATACATGGGGGATGGAGAGACAAAAACATCACTAAACAAGCCTGTAGCATTTTAACTGGTTTAGGGAATGAGCATTCTCATTACAATGGTCTATACATCCGAGATATGGGTGAATGTATCAATAAGACCATTGCACTTTATCTGTAACAGTTTCCTCAAACATTTGTAGATATCTTATGGACTGTCATATGTGATAGAGAACTTATAAATAGCACTATGATGTGATGTGCTTCCTGGCTGTGGTGCAAGTAACCACGGGTGGAAATGTCTGGGAACGAGAATATGGTGTAACTCACCCACAAAAAGTTGTCTTTCATGCGGATGGCGAACTTGCTCCGCTGCAGCCTGAGCAGACGTACAGGGGAGGAGGAGAGCTCAGAGACACAGCGGCTCACGCCTGCCAGCTGTCCACACAACAGCTCCTGCTTATCCAGAGGTGTCTGGGAGAAATAAAAGGCACAGAACCATCCTTCACTCTGCTCATCCAATTGGTATGGGATCATCAACAAAAACAACAGGGATCATTCCTGATACGCAGTTAGTATCAATAATCTCGCCTAGGGAACACATCTCTGATGTCCCTACCTCTTCAGGATAGAAGTAGCAGATTCCAGCTCTTGTAGGGTCACCCTCACCCTTTACCTTTGACCCATCATACAGGAAGAAGTTAATGCATCTGCAAATCACCAAGAAATCTGAGTGTAAAATTACATAACACAATAACCATACTAATAATAGAAAACAAAGTAGGGACTATAGAATGGCAGACTAAGGATCGTAGCCTAATTCAATGCAGGTGAAGAACAATAGAACCTCCGATCAGGTGACAGTCCCACCGTCTTGAGTCAGGCACAGTGATCTCAGCCATAGCTGTCAGTGGGTTGTACTGTCTCTCGAAGGCTGTCCTCCACATTCGTCCCTCTCCCTACCCATCCATACCTTAATGAGGACAGTGATGAATAAAACGAGTGTTCATTCGAACTTGAGAAAGTTATATCCTAGGTAAAATGCATAAATAGGCATACTGTTTATCATGTTGATATGCCATGCATTCACTATTGAACCAACTGTTGCCGGCAATTAGCGACTGCTTGATTTAAAAAACGTAAAACCACACATTGAACAGAATAGCTCAAAAGTATTTCTACTAGCAGGGCTAGAAGCGTAATTTCACAAAGCACAAACTGCAATGTCAAGCAGCTACCAGCTGGCTGACGTTTAGCTTACCCAACAATCTGGTTCTAAATTAAGTTCACGCACTCTTCCTCCCGTTTTTCAAGGTTATACATTTAAAGTCGACATCTCAGCAGAACAATACTTTCAAATTCAATACATTTCCTTTGCAAAACTTGACTGTTTCAGACAATTTTACAACTGAATTGAAAACAGATTAACTACTCACTGGTCGTCACTAGTTACCACAGCCAGTCATAATTATGACTAAACCCCGCCTATTTCTACAATTTCTTAATCTCATTTAAAACCTAACCTTAACCACACTGCTAACCTTATGCCTAACCTTAAGACTAATGCAAATTTGTTTTCATTAAACAATTCATCATAATTTTTACAATACACGACTTTGTGGCTGTGGTAACTAGTGACAACCCTACTCGTTTGCTAGAGTAATGCAAGTCACAAGAAGTTAGTCATGTGAAAGTACGGGATTGTAATAGGGTCAAACAGTGCGTCATTCTGAAACACGAAGTTCTAAACTCCTTTCGTTACTCTAAAACACATTTGGAAAAACGGACATTAGAAACCATCTGATATATTGTGTCAATTTGAGAGTTAAAAATAACACCACAATGTATTTCGGTAATAATTATTTATTTTAGTTAAGTTTACGCAGACATCGTGTTAAATGGTCCAGAAAAATGTAACTAACATTTTGGGTCCCTTGTGACAGATGCACAGAGGTAAACATAATATAATAGAGAAGAGTAAACTGTTTGGGGAGTGTGGTCCAGTAACAGAGTAATGAATTGAGGGAAGAGACTGGTCCCAGTGTGTGAGGTGGTCTGAGGGAGAGATCACTCTTCGCGTCCCTCATAGCCATCAGGGAGGGCATTCACTTCAGGGTTGTGGAACAGGCTCTTGTTGCCATCCCCCCAAGGGAAACGCTGGTGAGAGAAGAATCAAGTTAACATAATGGCAAACTAAATTAACAGGGGGCACATTAAACTGTCTAACTACTCTAGGCAAAATTAGACAATCCCAAAAAGTATAATCAAATAAATGTTTTGAAACAATAACTGTATTTAGTATCTAGGATACTTAAATAAAAAAAAAAAAAAAATCAGACCTTGCTGCGAATGCGAAGATGGCTGTAAGGGACAAACTCTGGCTCCACATGGTGTGCAGCATGGTGCTGCATCTTCAGGTACATGTTCAACATGCACACTGCAACTCCCGGAAGGGCAACCACAAAGGAGAGGATCTTCCATGTTCTAGCTGGAGAAGAAACAAAGAAAACCAAAAAATACATTGTTGTTTGATGAGTAACAATGGCTTTATTTACACTTAAGCCAGTTATAGTTAATACATTTGACCTTTATTTTCTGTTTGGACACATTGTGATGTGAGACATGTTGAAAACTAACATAGCTACTTTGATGTCACTGGAATGCTAAATCCGTAACTTTCCTTTGAATGTGTGCACAAGTGTACAAACCATTGAAATCCCAAGTATCTCAATCTCTGCACTTGTCAATGTCAAAGGCAACCACCAAAGTGCAACAGGTGCAGGTCATGTACTGTTGAGTTGCCATTTCCAAAGAGCCTCCTCTGACTTTGTTCATGTCTGATTTTAATAAATTGGCTAATCCAATCATGTATTTTTACAAATATAAACCATGATCACTGCGTGAGGCATTTGAAGTTTTGTGCCTGCTGAAGTACAGTTTACCGAGGTTCAGTATTGAGTATTTAACCACATTTGAACTACTGCACACAGGGTAGGTAACCCTGGTCCTGGAGTGCCAGATTAAACATTTTGCTGACCTGGGAGACCAGATGTGTAGAATTGAGCAAATTACTGTTGGTAAATAAGTTATTGGTTGAATAAGGTGTCATGCTAGGTTGACAAAGCCCTGCAGCACTCCAGGAACAAGGTTTCCTACCCCTGAACTAGGCCTAAATTGTGGTTGAAATTAGTGTACTCTCCTTTAATTCACTAAGGCTATATTAGCTTGCTAACTGACACCATGACATTGACATTGTTAACCACAATTGTGAAACTGATTTTAATAAATTGGTTTCTTCATTGCCTGCACATACTGAGTTAACGTTAGCTAGCTAAATCTGAGATGGGCCATTCAAACACACCAAATAACCTAGATAGATGTTTGGTAGGTTTGAAAACTGCATACACTATAACTAGCTCTTCTAGATAACTAACTGGTTAGTTACGATAGTCAACTTTTTTATTTAACCTTTATTTCAACAGGGAGTCATGTTGAGACCAAGGACAAGGTCTCTTCTGCAAATGAGCCCTAGCTAGCTAACTAGTCTAACATTGTGTTAATCCAGCCATCTGGCTAATATAGGATGGGGATTTAGCAATTGCCAACGATTCCTGTGTGTGTAGCTAGGTATGTGGTTGATTCCCAAATTCCTCTAACCTAGCTAGTTAGCTAACGTTATCGAAAACAGGAACTGTTATGCTGCCTCGCGCTAACTAGCTACGCGTTAGCTAGCAAGGTCACTAAACTACCACGTCCTCCAATAATATGTGTATGGTCTTATCATTAGTAAATCGTGTCGTTTGAGCAATGCTTGTGTGGCATTACCTGTTTGCTCTCCATGACCATGGGCCGCTGTGGCAGAGAGTTGACGACTCTGGATCAATGAGGACCGCAGGAGCGCTTGAGAAATTCTTCCGACCGCCGCCATTGTCACTGTCTTTCTGACCCGATCAGCAGATGAACGGAAGTGATGTAGGGGAAACGTGCTCTGCTTAAATCAACCACCATGCCACTTAGAGCTGAAGTCTGAAAAAAAGAGGTCAAGCTGTTTTAAAGTAACTGTCCAGTGTTTCCAGATTTCTATTAAATATTATCTATAATTAAATACAACATTAGTGAAATACTTTTCTTTCCAAAAAATGGCAATAAAGTATGTTAAAAAGCACCTTTTTTGTGTTGGAATGGTTTGGGCGTACCCCAACAACAGAATGGTGTGGGCTTATACCAGTCATTAAAAATATGAATGCAAGTAGACCGCTGATTGGCCAGCTCATCCTCCTCATGAGGATGACATCATCAACAGTAACCATTTTTTAAACGTTCTGTTTGAGATACAAGTTTGAGGTGGGGTTTCTGAAGTATTTTCTTCCCCCTCCAATTTATGCTTTGGCCACAAATAGGAGTATAGCACAGGAGGTTGGTGGCAACTTAATTGGGGAGGACGGGCTCGTGGTAATGGCTGGAGCGGAATAAGTGGAATGGTATCAAATACATCAAACACATGGTTTCCATGTGTTTGATGCTATTCCATTCGCTCTGTTCCGGCCATTATTATGAGCCGTCCTCCGCTCAGCAGCCTCCACTGGAGTATAGGATAAGTCAACAACATTATTTGGGTATGAGTTAACAGAATATTAACTTTTAAAAGTGAGATTTTCACTGGACAGTTACTTTAACTATACTTTTTGACAGTAGCCTACTAGCTGTAGCCCTATGCAGAGACTATGTGAGAAAATGACCCTAACCAACATTGTACCAGATTCTACAGTTTTGCATCTACAGTAAACTAAATCACCAAATACAGACCCAACTGTATGAACCGTATGGCAAATTCTACTCTGTCTGAATGAGTTCATAATAATCTTGACTTCTGATATAGCCTAGGCCTAGGCTATCAAATATTCTATATTGTTCTTTATATTAAGCTTGGATTGGCTGCTTCTCAGAATTCTTTGTGTTCTTTGTTCAATATATGTAACAAACTCAGTGGGAGGACTAGACACAAACACAACTTTGAACCTTTGGTCAGAGACCAGAAGAAGACTGGACAGACTGATAGATCAGCTGAGAGGTGTTCACATTTCCATGAACATAACAGGAGGGAGGTAAGGGATATGTGCAGAGTGGGTGTCAGAGTTCCAAGATTTTGTTAGGTTTGTGTTTGGTAGTAGGCAGCCTAATCATTCTCACCATCATCAGATTCGCCTAAACATTTATGATATGTATGTAGCCTACAACATTTAGAACCTGGACTTTCATATCTAAACTTAATCACATAATTAAATACATTATTCTCTACTTTCCTCCAGTCGGTGTGTTGAGATTTAGATACACAATCATCATAGTGTCTGTATTTCATGAGATTGTGAGATGCATGTTTGCATAGAGACTATTGATTGAGAGGTTAATATTCAACTATTTAATCTATGACCTTAAAACACAAGAGCTCCTATCATCTAACTGTCTTTTCATTTGCTTTACTGTCCTGGCACAAATAAAATCACTACTACAGCACAGGTTCATTTGGATCATTTGAATTTGACATGCATTATGGATTACCAGCTATTATATCTCTAAATTGCAAATGTCTGGACGGGATGAGTGACATGTTTCATTTTGAGTCAGGGCATATTGCTGACAAAAGCATTAAAGACCTCAGTTCATTTTCAATGTGGAAATCTCTCCTCCAGAAATGGATTCCATTCAGTATGATCAATTTGGTACGTCTGACATTGAGAGTAACCACAGTCGGAGGAAAATAATTCCACAAAGAGGTAAATTAATCTATAATAGGTTATCCATGGGACCAACACAGATTCAATATCTGTTTTGTGCCCTCATATTCCATATCATTTTCTCCATGTATATTATTTCAGGTATGCAGGGCAGGGTGGTTTAACTCCTGTATGGTGTCTTAGTGCTTCTCCTGTTGATACTACTGCTGATAACTGGACTTAAATGTAAGGCTTGCTTAATTATACTGATCATTTATCATTCAGGGGGGGGCAAGACAAATAAAATGGAATTGTTAAGCTCTCTATTTTATTTCCACCAATTTATAATTTAATATATATATTTTTAAATCAACCCTGTCTCCATTTTCCTAAGTCTCTCAGTTAAACCAGGCGATAGTTGATGTCCATCTTTACCTTGAGTCCCTGAACAAGACTGTGATGAGTGCTTGTGCCACATCTTCCTCTTCCAGTTCAGGTACAGTGATGTTTAAAGGCTTTTATAACTAAAGGACTAATAAACCTCTGACTCTTGTTGAAGGATTATATATTTTATTAGACATATACACTCCCCTCTGTATTTATTTGGATAGTGAAGCTTTTAAATAAACCAAAAAATTGCCTCTATACTCCAGCATTTTGGATTTGAGATCAAATGTTTCATTTGTCCCCTTATACTGTATCTGAGGGTATTTTCATACATATTTGTTTCACCATTTAGAAATAAAAGCATGTTATGTATCTAGTCCCCCCATTTGAAGAATTCATAAGTATTTGGACAAATTCACTTCTAGTGTATTAAAGTAGTCAAAAGTTTAGTATTTGGTCCCATATTCCTGGCAAGCTTGTGACTACAAACTTGTTGGATGCATTTGCAGTTTGTTTTGGTTGTGTTTCTGTTTAGGATTATGTTTTGCCCAATAAGAACTGAATGGCGAATAATGTATTGTGTCATTTTGGAGTCACTTTTATTATAAATAAGAATACAATATGTTTTGGAACACTTCTTTATTAATGTGGATGCTACCATGATTATGCATAATCATGATTGAATCGTGAATAATGATGTGTAAGAAAGTTACAGAGGCACAAAGATCATACCTCCCCATAAATGTTAACCTTCCCTGTTATTGTAATGATAAGAGGTTAGCATGTCTACGGGGTATGATATTTGTGCGCCTGTAACTTTCTCACTCATCATTATTCACAATTCATTCAGGACAATCCTTAATCATGGTAGCATCCACATTAATGTAGAAGTGTTTAGAAACATATTCTATTCTTATTTACAATAAAAGTGACTCCAAAATGACAAAATACATTATTCACCATTCATCTTTAGTGGGCACAAAATAATCTGAAACACAACCAAAACAAACAGCAAATGGATTCAACAAGTTTGTAGAGTCACAAGCTTTATGTAATCATTGCGTGCTAGGAATATGGGACCAAATACTAAACGTTTGACTACTTTAATACACATATAAGTGAATTTGTTCCAATACTTTTGGTCCCCTAAAATCGGGGGACTATGTACAAAAAGTGCTGTAAATACCCTAAAATTAAAGTTGACAGTCTGCACTTTCAGACCGTATCATTTCAAATCCAAAGTGCTGGAGTACAGAGCCAAAACAACAAAAAATTTGTCACTGTCCCAATACTTTTGGAGCTTACTGTATGTGCTATTCCATAGGGAGTGTCAGAACAATCACTACCATATGGAAAACAAAATGACATTTCAGAACTCCATTAGGCAGATCAAAGATTGCCCTATTGTTTCAGAAATAACCTGTTTCTATGTGTACATGGGGAATGTGTGTACTAAGCAAACATATGGAATTGTTTTAAAATGGTGATACCATGGATCATTTAGCTATAGAATTTTGGATTTTAGGACCCCTGTAGGTATAATATGTTTTGCTGTTGTTAATTATTTGATAAAATATTGAATTTGGCCTTTACTACTACAGCCCATAGAAACGCATTGAATAATCCATTCATAAATGGCAAAACAGACAGGCAAAAAATAAATCATAAGGAAGTGTCTGTCCTATATTTAGGAGATATAAGAAAGCTCAGGAAACATTTTTGTTTTTTGGACACATATTTAACCCCTTTCTGGCACAAAACTACCTACATACTTCCATTTACCTTCAGATGAGTCCTGTGACACTTGTAGAGCAAAACAAGTCCCGTAGAGAAAAAATGGAGAACACCATCGTGTTCGTGAGTCTCCCCTTTCCACAGTGGGGTCATATTAGTTTGTAGCCCAAAACGCTTCTCACGCTACAGACAGAAGTTGGCACATCGGCGGTACCGACTTCAGACGAGTCGCTTAGGTCACTCGTTTTGCCCATTCTAACGTTCAATGGAACAGTAACTGAATGCCTCAATGCCTGTCTGCCTGCTTTATATAGCAAGCCACAGCCTCGTGACTCACTGTCTGTAGGAGCGAACCGTGAACGTGAACGTGAACGTGAATAAACTGACCACTGAGTGTATATATAATTAGATAACATTGTAGAAGCATTATTCATAATCTCTCTCTCCGTTCTTCATTCACTCTCCTCCTCCTGTCCCTTTCAGACCCAGCTACTATCAATCATGTCTATTATTATGAATTTCAAATTCCAGTGAGAGGTAAGTGACTTATTGGTAGATAAAGACCATCCCTATCCATTGTGCAAAACATTGTGTCCTCCTCAGGAACTTGTAGTGAAGACTGGTGGTCGTTCCAGGATAGCTGCTACCTGGCATTAAAAAAAGGAAGCTCAGCTGGAACAGCTCAGACTAAAAAAGTATCAAGCTGGGAGCACAGCTGCTTGTTCTTAACAGTGAGGATGAGCTGGTAAGGCCAAGGAGGTGATGCAGTATTGGTCTCACATCAAGGGCTGTGGGCTATGTTAAATGTGCTCTATTTGTGCTGTTTAGGACTACATCTACCAAGTGATTGATGCAGGAGAGAGCTACTGGATTGGGCTTGTGGAGAGAACACAAGAGGGCCACTGGACCTGAGTGGCTTGAACTGACTACAAATCAACTCCAAAGTAAGGGAATACTGGGATGATGAGAATAGGGCAGAGGAGGCTGGTGGGAAGTGCTATAGGAGAACAGGCTCAGTGTAATGACTGGAATGGAATCAATGGAATGGTACCAAACACAACTTAGACCCATGGGGCGGCGCACAATTGGCCCAGCGTCGTCCAGGGTAGGGGAGGGAATGGCTGGCAGGGAGGTAGCTCAGTTGGTAGAGCATGGCGTTTGCAATGCCAGGGTTGTGGGTTCGATTCCCATGGGGGGCCAGTAAGAAAAAAATATATATAATGTATGTACTCATTAACTGTAAGTCGCTCTGGATAAGAGCGTCTGCTAAATGACGTAAATGTAAATGTAAACTTGTTTGACTCCATTCCATTGATTCCATTCCAGCCATTACAAAGAGCCCATCCTCCTATAGCTTCTCCCACCAACCTCCTCTGGAGTAGGGATATAGTGTATTACATCCTAAAAACACAGTCATCAGACATTATAATAGGGAATATCCTTCCCTCTAATGTCTTTGCTCAGCTTCTGGGATAAAGGGCACCCAGACGACTGGGACGTTTGTGTGAATGGAGAGGACTGTGGACAGCTTCATAAAGGTCCACCCAGACGACGCAAGCTTTGGAATGATGCAGACTGCAACCTAACGTTCACTTACATCTGTGAGGCAAAGGGGAAATGAGAAACAGTAGACCCATGTTTGCCGTTGACACATGAGCTGTAAACTATGCCAGTGCTGCCTCACTGATATAACATGACATTAGGATACAGGAGAAAGGATGGATTTCTTGCAGTGACTGTATACAACAATCACAAATTATGGTATTGAGCATAAGAAGCACACAGTGCATAACATTAGATTATTCATAGAATAATGTTTAATTAAAGCTTGGTATGTCAGAATTTAATAGCTTCCTTGGAGGTCTTTTCATCAGATATTTTTCCAGTTCAGCATCAACTCTATCTGTGGGTGTATATGAATAGCAATAACCAACACAGAGGCACATATAGGATCATAACAGCTGGGATTGATTTCAAGAGAAGTTGGGCCACTGCAGGTTATGTCCTGGTTTCCAGTGCATTCCCATACTAGCAGTGCTCACTGGGAAGGTGCTCATGCTCTGGGTTGTACCCCGCCTTGTCAAAGCACATGGCTGCCTTTCTGTCACACTCGCAGATAAACATCTCACATGGATTGTTGTTTTCTGTATGACAGAGAGACAGAAGAAAAAGTAAGGAGGCAGGAGGGGAGGAAGAGGGAAAATTGAGAAAGAGAAGGATGGGTAATGGTAAATGGTTTTCAAGGGGGAAGGGAAATAGAACATCTCAAATTCAAAAGATGCAGAGGACTCGAACATCCTAAAGAGGGTACTGTTGCAGAATAAAAGTTATATTTTGACGAAGGGACTGTTTTTTAATCTTATAGTTATGCTGAACACACTCACCTTTGCAGGTGACAGTCTTAGAGGCTCTGTCACACTGGTAGCTGTATATTTCCGTGTAAGGGTTGTCAAAGATGGCCCAGCAATCCTCGTGCTGCATGGCATCAGAGTAGCACTGGTCATGAACCTGACAGCATCTGGAACACACAGAGGGCATCTGTTTCAATACAAGTATAATTACTGACTTCCTGTTAAAATGAATGTATATAGCCCCCCTCCCCCCCACACTGTATAACTCCCACCGTCCACCTACACAGTGTACACATCAACCTCCAGGTTCAAATTCATCCTCATCTTCTCAGATTCTTGCCGTATTCATTACCCCTGACCCCGTCTTCCCCTACATGACTGCGTACCTGTCCAGATCATCCACAGGTGTGCCTGAGCCGCCCTTCCCACAGTAGCAGCCATAGTCAGCGTAGTCCAGCACAGGCCAGCTATCAGGGTTGACACAGACGATCATCCCTCTGAACTGCCATAGTGCCCAGGGGCTGGGTTCATGCACCGCCAGCACTGAAACACACGAGAGGCCACGTCTCAGACAGACAGAGCACATTCAAATATCTACACCGGACATTACCATTTTTATATCAGAAATAAACAAAAACTTAAATGAATCACTGAAATGGAACCATATAGCATCATGGTTGAACTGGGCAACGTCACATTCTAGACAACTGACTGGTTTGCCCTTATGGCATAATGTAAATGTATTTTGCATAACCAGCTGTGAGTCAAATATTTTGCAGTGCACATTGACTTGACTGAAGGAATATTTTCAGAAAAGAAAGCTATGACAGGATGACTGGACACTGTCATTACACTGTACACTGCTCTGTTACTAAAAAGCATAGTCAGCATCAAAGCTCTGTTTCAACATACAGTGTAATTAATAATACTTACAGACTGGCAGACAGAAGGCTAACAGCAGCAGAGTGTGAGAAGACCTCATTTTGGTGATGAAGAGTATCACTGATCTGGAACGCAACTGATTTATATAGATGCATGGCCTTGAGGGGCAGGCTTTGGATGATTAGATAGGGCGAGATACACTGTGCACAGTAGACTGCACACTTATAGATCTGTGTATAGTGATAAAGGTGCATTGAATCACATTTCAATAACGGTTACATGTTTAAAAAATTATTATTATTATTTAACCAGGTTAATCTCACTGATTAAAAATCTATTTTTCAAGAGCGACAGGATAATATGAAGAGAGACAGGAGACTCATTAAGTCATTGTACAAGGCTTGACTGCAGTTGTGGAATCGAAATGTGTGGGAATTTAAGCAAGTGTTTTGTCATTTACACAGCTGTCCGCTGGAATGTACTTTGGAAAGACATTATGGGAAAGGCTAAATTTACCTTTCATGGTATTAGCAATTGATATGATATAGAGGACAATGCTGGTATTTTAACCCTAACAATGACTGCTTTAAGAAAGCAATATAACATAAGAGGAAAAATGACAAATCTGTCTAATTTGATTGGATATACCATAGGGAATTAAAATATTTATTTAATCCAGCCATAAAACATCCACCAGCCAATATTTCAGTTAGGATTTTACTTACTTAAACTCTGCTTTATAGACCCGAGGCTGGTATTACTCAGCAGCCCCCAACAGCATAACATATCCTCTGTCATTTTAGTGTCATGTAGAAATCACATTCAACCTGTGTTTTCAATTATGTGTCATATCTCATATGTTTCTGTTTTGAATTTGTATCAGTGAAAGCAGTAGCAATCCTGGGTAAACCAGTTTAGCACCTGAGGAAAGTATTTGAGCCAAGATATCGTTCAGATTCCTGGCTGTATGACACAACTCCTCCCAGTTTACCTCTCATTTTATCAATTGTTCTCTTTAGCCTCCCTTCATCTTATTTAAGAGGAGGTAACGTTGGTGTATCCCCTCAATGTTTCTTCTGTCATGCATCCCAAAGCATTCCTGTTGCTGCTGACTGGTAAGCCTGTCACATTTTAATATTGATTCGAAACTTGTTGTCCCCTTTTTCACTTGCCTAAGAATATACATACAGTCTGAGATGATTTCCGATAGAACAATATTAATGTGTGCCCTCTGTAACTATGTTATTTGGAACCTCAATGTCAGGAATATGTGCAATAGTGTGACTGATGGCTTCACCTCCCTCCTCTGCCAGCATACGCAGCCCATGGTTCACTGCAGCCCCAGGCTCTGTGGCAATTTGGCAGAATGATCACGTGCACCCAGCCTGATGTCAACCCATTAATGTACAATAACTATGGCTGTTGGTGTGGCTTGGGGGGGACTGGGACTCCCAGGGATGACACTGATAGGTAACTGAATTTCATTCAACTTGTGTTGGACATTACATTTACATTTTAGTCATTTAGCAGACGCTCTTATCCAGAGCGACTTTACAGTTAGTGAGTGCATACATTTTCATACTGGCCCCCCGTGGGAAATGAACCCGCAACCCTGGCGTTGCAAGCGCCATGCTCTACCAACTGAGCTACAGGGGACATCATGACCAGGTTTTTGTGTGCATCTCAGAAAACTCATTACTTTCTTCTCTTCACTCTCAGGTGTTGTGAGGTCCACGACCTCTGCTATCAAGCGAGCAGGCATCTTCCAGAGTGCCGTCCCGTCATTGACGTCCCTTACATCAAGGTGTACATATTCTCTTGCACAAATGGGGAGGTCTCCTGTTCAGGTAACAACTGAACTGTAGAAACAAAATAATTTGCGGACATACATTTGCAATAAACTATACAATCTTCCCAAGCTCTATGATATTGTCAGATGCAATGATGTTTTGAAGTAAGGTGAGGTTTCAGCTTTGTCTGATTATAACTGCTCCTAATGTTTATCATGAGCCTAAACCTGTGTCCTCACGCCTCAGCTTCCAACGATGTGTGCCAGGCCTCAGTGTGCGAGTGTGACCGAGTCGCCGCCAACTGCTTCGCCCAGTCCACCTACAACCCTGAGAACAAGAACCTGGACCCCAAAACCCACTGTGTCACCTGAGCCAAGACAAATCCTCTGGAAGCAACACAAACATCTGAAACTACAGAGCTATTCACAACTGTAGATTCACAGAATGTTTGTGAATCCTGTTTCATGGATGTGTGTCATGTTTGCTGGAATGGAATTTATTGTGCCAACAAAATTGTTGACCTGATTAAATGTTTGAATGGCATTCTTTTGAGTATGTGTTTGTTGGTTCTGCATTTGTATTTAACGCATATAATTCTGTGTAAGTAGTAACTGGAGAAAGTATTCACACCCCTTTACTTTTTCCAAATTGTGTTACGTTACAGCCTTGTTCCAAAATGGAATATAATAGGTAATAATGACAAAGCGAAAACAGGTTTTTAATTTACACTAAATAAAAACACAGAAATACCTTATTTACATAAGTATTCAGACGCTTTGCTATGAGACGCGAAATTGAGCTCAGGTGCATCCTGTTTCCATTGATCATCCGTGAGATGTTTCTACAACTTGGAGTCCACCTGTGGTAAATTATATTATTTGGACATGATTTGGAAAGGCACACACCTGTCTATATAAAATCCCACATTTGACTGTGCATGTCAGAGCAAAAACCAAGCCATGAGGTCGAAGGAATTGTCCGTAGAGCTACAAGACAGCATTGTGTCGAGGCACAGATCTGGGGAAGGGTACCCAAAAATGTCTCCAGCATTGAAGGTTCCCAAGAACACAGTGGCTTCCATCATTCTTAAATGAAGAAGTTTGGAACCACCAGGACTCTTTCTAGAGCTGGCCACCCGGCCAAACTGAGCAATCGGGGGAGAAAGGCCTTGGTCAGTGAGGTGACCAAGAACCCATTGGTCACTCTGACAGAGCTCCAGAGTTCCTCTGTGAAGATGGGAGAACCTTCCAGAAGGACAACCATCTCTGCAGCACTCCACCAATCAGGCCTTTATGGTAGAGTGGCCCGACGGAAGCCACTCCTCAGTAAAAGGCCCGCTTGGAGTTTGCCAAAAGGCACCTAAAGGACTCTCAGACCATGAGAAACAAGATTTTCTAGTCTGATGAAACCAAGATTGAACTCTTTGGCCTGAATGCCAAGCGTCACGACTGGAGGAAACCTGGCACCATCCCTACGGTGAAGCATGGTGGTGGCAGCATCATGCTGTGGGGATGTTTTTTAGTGGCAGGGACTGAGAGACTAGTCAGGATTGAGGGAAAGATGAATGGAGCAAAGTACAGAGACATCCTTGATGAAAACCTGCTCTAGAGCGCTCAGGACCTCAGACTGGGGCGAAGGTTCACCTTCCAACAAGACAACGACCCTAAGCACACAGCCAAGACAACGCAGGAGTGGCTTCTGACAAGTCTCTGATTGTCCTTGAGTGGCCCAGCCCGAACCCATACTTGAACCCGATCGAACATCTCTGGAGAGACCTGAAAATAGCTGTGCAGCGACGCTCCCCATTCATCCTGACAGAGCTTGAGAGGATCTGCGGAGAAGAATGGGAGAAACTCCCCAAATACAGGTGTGCCAAGCTTGTAGCGTCATACCCAAGAAGACTCGAGGCTGTAATTGCTGCCAAAGGTGCTTCAACAAAGTACTGAGTAAAGGGTCTGAATACTTATGTAAATGTGATAATTTTTTGTGTGTGCAAAAATTTCTAAAAACCTGTTTTTGCATTGTTATTTTGGGGTATTCTGTGTAGATTGATGGGGAAAACTATTTAATCAATTTTACAATAACGCTGTAACATAACAACATGTGGAAAAAGTCAAGGGGTCTGAATACTTTCCGACTGCACTGTAATATAGTTATTGGGGAGTGTATGAGTGGAAGTGAGATCAAAAGGTATTAGATCAAGAATCAATATGCAAAAGCAGTCTAACAAGGTCATTTCTGGACTGATTCCAATAACTTTTTGTCCACACCGGTTTGTGTATTTATATGGCTAGCTTCCACTTTTTTGTGTAGTTTTGTAGCAGCTGGTTTTGTCTCACGATTACACAATGATACTTTTCCATTAACTAGCATGAAAAGTGTCTGTTTGGCAAATTCAGGTATTTTTCCATGAGCTAAAATGAAGATATCTGAAGGGAAAATTTTAGCTCTGTGTCAACTAATAAAGCTCAAGTGGTCATTATATTTACAATTAACCTGAGATATCAGAGAGAAGTTTAATCATCGATATAAAAACACAGAATTATACAATAATATAATTGAAAACGTTTCTAGGCAGGAAGCACATGGATGGCATGATTATATCGGCTTGTACAGAAGTGTGGTCACATACTTCTTTTTGTAGCGGTGGGTTGCGCTAAGAACCATCACCCCATCCTGAAAGAAAATAAAATAGACATGGATCAGGCATGGATGTCTTGAGACGCAGAGTTGAGGTCTATTTAACACTGGATTTGAATTGCTCTATCCATGTCAAATTCAACTGACAACAGGGAATGTAACTGACCCCATGTCTGCTGAGGTGGCTGGTCTAGTGAGGAAACATCTGAGTTGAGAGAAGCAATGATTTACCTTGATGGAGAGGGCATAGAGGTGGTTGAGCATCACATGGTTGGGCTCTGGAAGAAGGGCTGGGTCACACTGTTCAGGATATAGAAAACAAACAATTAGCACTAAGAAATTGACACCAATCAGAGAAAATAAAAACATATTTCCACCATCATGACTCCCAATGAAGATGTTCTCCAGCCTCTGAACCATCACTCACAGACACGCCAGTGTCCTTATTGAGCAGGACTTGCAGCAGGTGTGGTGGCAGGATGGGGGGGTTCTTGAGCTTGTCGCCCGTCTTGGTTATGTATGGGTCCTGCTGGTAGGGTCCCGGAGGGGAACTCGAGAGGTCTGAAATCACAGAGACACACAATGATTCAATGTGCAGTAAACCACCAGGTGAAATTAGGTACCTTCATTCATACAGTGCCTTCGGAAAGTATTCAGATCCCTTGACTTTATCCACATTTTGCTACGTTACAGCCTTATTCTAAAATGGATTACATTTTTTAAAAATCCTCAGCAATCTACACACAATACCCCATAATGACAAAGCGAAAACAAATTTATACAAAACAATTAAATAAACATATTTACATAAGTATTCAGACCCTTTGCTATGAGACTCGAAATTGAGCTTGGGTGCATCCTGTTTCCATTGACCATCCTTGAGATGTTTCTACAACTTGATTGGAGTCCACCTGTGGTAAATTCAATTGATTGGACATGATTTGGAAAAGCACACACCTGTCTATATAAGGTCCCACAGTTGAGAGTGCATGTCAGAGCAAAACCAAGCCATGAGGTCGAAAGAATTGTCCGTAGAGCGCCGAGACAGGATTGTGTCGAGGCTCAGATCTGGGGAAGGGTACCAAAAAATGTCTGAGGCATTGAAGTTCCCCAAGAACACAGTGGCCTCCATCATTCTTAAATAGAAGAAGTTTGGAACCACCAAGACTCTTCCTAGAGCTGGCCGCCCAGCCAAACTGAGCAATCGGGGGAGAAGGGCCTTGGTCAGGGAGGTGACCAAGAACACAATGGTCACTCTGACAGAGCTTTAGAGAGTTCCTCTGTGAAGATGGGAGAACCTTCTCTGCAGCACTCCACCAATCAGGCCTTTATGGTAGAGTGGCCAGACAGAAGCCACTCCTCTGTAAAAGGCACACGACAGCCTGCTTGGAGTTTGCCAAAAGGCACCTAAAGACTCTCAGACCATGAGAAACAAGATTCTCTGGTCTGATGAAACCAAGACTCAACTCTTTGGCCTGAATGCCAAGTGTCACGTCTGGAGGAAACATGGCACCGTCCATACGGTGAAGCATGGTGGTGGCAGCATCATGCTGTGGGGATGTTTTTCAACTGCAGGGACTGGGAGACTAGTCAGGATCGAGGCAAAGATTAACGGAGCAAAGTACAGAGAGATTCTTGATGAAAACCTGCTCCAGAGCGCTCAGGACCTCAGACTTGGGCGAACGTTCACCTTCCAACAGGACAACAACACTAAGCACACAGCCAAGACAATGCAGGAGTGGCTTCGGGACAAGTCGCTAAATGTCCTTGAGTGGCCCAGCCAAAGCCCGGACTTGGACCCGATTGAACATCTCTGGAGACCTGAAAATGTGCAGCAACGCTCCCCATCCAACCTGACAGAGCTTGAGAGGATCTGTAGAGAAATGGGAGAAACTCCTCAAATAAAGGTGTGCCAAACTTGTAGCGTCATACCCAAGAAGACTCAAGGCTGTAATTGCTGCCAAAGGTGCTTCAACAAAGTACTGAGTAAAGGGTCTGAATACTTATGTAATTGTGATATTTCCGGGGGGGGGGGGTTTCTTCATACATTTGCACAAATTTCTAAAAACCTGTTTTTTGCTTTGTCATTGTGTGTAGATTGATGATAAAAAAAATTAAAAATATTTTAGAATAAGGCTGTAACCTAACAAAATGTGGAAAAAGTCAATGGGTCTGAATACTTCCGAAGGCAGTGTATATCATCAGAAGTGAAACTGCCTTCATCACTAAATGGAGTTATTGGTAAAACACATGAATTATGATGGTAATCAAGCATCAGTACCTGACATGTCTGCACATTCCTGAGAATCAATCATGAGGGCATCAAACACTTCAAAGTCAGTCCTCTTCACCTGGATGACATTATTGACAGTGCCAGTTTTGGTCGTCAACACAGCCTGTGACAGATGAAATACAGTTGAAAGACTGAACACAGAGGGAATGGTATTATATCATTCAGACAGAGAGAGGGTTTGTACTCACCCCTGTCGGGTCGAGGGTCCACTGTCCATCTACACAGAACTTATACTGGTGCTCTCCCTCAGGCAAGTCCACAACCGCCGCAAAGTTGTTCTGGCTGGGTCATAAAAAGAACACAATACAATCAATATTGAGCAGGAAACATCATTCAAATGTAAATCAGTATCAACTATTCACGTTTTGCCAAATTAAAGTGCTCTGTTCGGGTTTTCCCAAAACTGCTCACCTTTTGTTGAGGGGAATCTTGGTGGCCCAGTTGTTGAATGATCCAGACACAAAGACCTCTTTGCCAGCGCCTGTCCAACGGAACACAGTGGGCTTGGCCTGACTGGGACATTTACTGTCACTCTCAAGGTCCCGCTGCCAGGCTAGAAACTCCTGGATCTCCTGAGGAGCCTGGCACAATTGGACTCACATTAACACCATCACAAAAAGTTAGGTATAGCCTACCCTACAGCAACTTTAATATAAATCTGAATTAATTAACCCCTTTAGACTTCACTATCTATATGCTTTCTGTACCTTTTTATCCTCTCGGGTGTTAAAAAGGTCAGCATCATCTGTGCTGTCCATGAGGATCTTGGGCTGTGCGCCATCCTTGGCACCTTGTCCATCATCACGCTGATAGGGCCTCTCACCCTGACCAGCACTGGCCCGCTCACCACTGCTGCTGTTGTTGCCCATACTGACTCAGCAACAACCACTGCACTGACCATCATCAACACACAAGTATGAAAAAAGGAACAGCAATAATTACGTTTACATTTACATTTTAGTCATTTAGCAGACGCTCTTATCCAGAGCGACTTACAGTTAGTGAATACATATTTTTATTTTATTTTTTTATACTGGCCCCCCGTGGGAATCGAACCCACAACCCTGGCATTGCAAACGCCATGCTCTATCAACTGAGCTACATCCCTGCCAGCCATTCCCTCCCCTACCCTGGACGACGCTGGGCCAATTGTGCGCCGCCCATGAGTCTCCCGGTCGCGGCCGGCTGCGACAGAGCCTGGATTCGAACCAGGATCTCTAGTGGCACAGTTAGCACTGCGATGCAGTGCCTTAGACCACTTAGACCACTGCGCCACTCAGGAGTATATTACCCACCCGCTCTGTTATATACAAGTAACATTGACATAATGTAATACATCTTATAATATCATCTGACATTTATATGACAGAAAATATTTTCAGAAACAGGTCTGGTTGAACATTTAGTCATTCTGAGCATTTCCTTCTTGATCCGGGTCGGACAGCATTCCTGTGTATATTAAGACACATGCACGGAGCCGGCGTGAGATATGGCTCAGAATGAGAAATGGGTTGTACCTCAATCCAGGAATGAGAAATGGGTTGTACTAAGAATTGCTAACAATCAAGAGGACAAAAACGGCAGTTTACTTCAAAACTAGCAGTCGTTCAATCTGCTCCGTGTAACAGTTGGGATAATGGAACAATTCGGAGTACAGCGTATTTCTCATCCCTGATTGAGGTAGGGGCCTTTGTTTTCCGAGCCATATCTCGCACAGGCTCCACGGGTGTCTTAATATACACAGGGATGCTGTCTGACCGCAGTGCAGCTGTAAATAAGCAGCATCGGATCTGCTGGCTAATCCTCCACCAAAGCCTATTGTAGTTGATTAAGAAGTGGCCAAGACCAAAATGTAATCATTTGATAAAAGATCCCAGTCTCCTGACATGACCAAGACCCCTCCCCAACACAAACTTGCTCGCAAAAACACAAACACCGGCAGACACACACTGACATTAGGTTTGCGTTTCCGTGCACAAACAAAAACCATATAGCATACTATATATATATACCATCTACGGCAAAAACTGCCTCGTTACTCAAACTTAAAAACACATCACTTCCGGAAGATCCATGCCAAAATAACATTGAAATAGCCCTAATTGTTTTCACTTTTCTTACCGTCGTATAATTTCTGGAAATTGTAATACTGGGAATCTACGCTATTGTGTTTCCTATCGCCATTTCCCCCTGAATGGGTAAATTGTAACCTAACCCAAAACAGCCAGTATGGCTACACGAGCACACACCTCTTCCTGTTTTCTCGCATTCGAAGTCACGCCTGTCTCGGAATGATTTTTCAGACCATTGAGTAAGTTTCCATTTCAAAAACTAGTGTAACCTTTTCTAGGTCACAACAGACAACAATAGTCTGATTTAACAAACAAAATGTGAAGCTGGAGCAAATTTCAGCATTGGCCATGATGGATTCCTAGTTTAGAAAAAGGAAAGGTTCTGTGCCCGGTTTCCCAAAAGCATTTTATGCCTAATTGTGAATTTAGCCTTAACGTGGCAATCAGGAGTTTAAACAACAACACGTTAATCCCCGCTCCTGTTTAGGTAAAAAGCTAAGGGATGGGGCTGGAGAAATGTAACAACTCTCAAATTCATAGACAGAGCTATGGATGCAAGGACTGACCATCCATGATATCAAAATTATAGTTTTAACCATGTTTTGAGGCTATATAGTGTTTGTTTACATTTACTTTGTTTACAGATATTGGATTAAAACAAGTTTATATTTTGGGTTCTGATGTGGTATGACAGTTAAACAACGCTCATGAGTTAATTTATAAGTTATATTCTTCAATAATCAATGGGTAGGATACATATAATTAATTTATCATTAAGTCCAAAAATTGATGTAGCAAATGTTATGTAGGTTCCTGAACAGACTTTGAGATACATTTGCTCCGGTCGGTGGGTGTGTCGGGGTGTGGCTTGTAGCAATGAGTGACGTATTTAAAGGCAGCTGTGCATTTTGAGCCCACAACCAAACCCCTCCCCGTTTTTCAACTAGTTGTTCAGTACAGCACCGTTTCCGTTCATTTGAACGTTCTATTATGTTTGTATGTATTGAACGCAGCCCAGGGATGGGCAACAAGATTCAGCCTTGGGCCGATTTTTGTTGGAGCAAATGGTTGGAAAATAATTATAATAATTTGTACACTGCAAATTAAACTTATTTTTTTTAATTTTACCTTTATTTAACTAGGCAAGTCAGTTAAGAACACATTCTTAATTACAATGACGGCCTACACCGGCCAAACCCGGACGACGCTGGGCCAATTGTGCACCGCCCAATGGGACTCCCAATCACGGCCGGTTGTGATATAGCCTGGAATCGAACCAGGGAGTCTGTAGTGACGCCTCAAGCACTGAGATGCAGTGCCTTAGACCACTGCGCCACTCGACAACTAAACCAAAAAATTGATTGTATTTGAAAATAACAATAATTTCATACCTGGATTACATTGAGACATGATCACGTTCTCTTTTTTTATTTGTGTGAACACTTGGGAACAGATTTCCATTTTTATTTTTTTATTTTTTGCTGAATTCCTGGTGATTCTAGTAAATTAATGTTTAACCAAAAACTAAAATCTCCCCCACAAATTATTATTATTATTTGTTTTAATAAAAACTTTGGGGGCCCAAAAAAATTACTCGGCGGACAGATTTGGCCTGCGGGCCTCTTGTTGCCGACCCCTGCCATATAGCCTAGCCAGCCATACTGAATAGATCACATTTGACTCTTATTTTAACATTGAGTCAAGTTTTTGATAGCCTAAAATAAATAAATAAATATGGAAATGCTGTGCAAGTGGGGTTTACACTGATAAAACATTCTTGGCACTTATCAATCAAGTTTTAGAAGACTAATATCATGTGTCTGTCTCATGGAGATAGTTGGACGACGCAACATTGTATCTGTCCCATTATGGCGTCTCAGAGCATGGCCAGCACCGTTGAGGCCATCTTCATTTTGAAGTAGTACATTTTCTGCTTCTACGACTTCTATGAGTTCGTAAACAAACTGAAAGGGTGCATACTGGAGTGTGTTGTTTGAACAGGTATAAAGCCAAGGTTGGCGACTTACTGCCAACTGCAGTTATGAAATGTTTGCTTACAAGTATAATTAATTGGCTTATCCCTTCTGATGACCTGGATGGAATTTTGTGATCCTTCCTTAACCCATAGGAAGTCCCACCCAGCTGACTACTTCAAAATGGTGAAAGTCATCAATGGGGCTGCCCATGCTAAAACTGACTTTTGAGTCCTCTGTAGTCTGTCTACACATATGACTCCTGATGAAGATAACCTACGGTATCGCTGCTCAACCATTGCAGGTTGACTTATTCCTCTGATGCTTTCACACGGCTAACCAATTTCACAGTCTCACAACTGGGCCACGCGTACCCACTTAGATAAACACAGACTGGGGTGTGAAAAGCAGTCTTAGCAGGTGCTGCAGGTTTGTATCTGTATTTGTATTTTTTTTTTACTTTAACAAGGGAGCACTGCACACAATCATACAAATGAACAAAATTGACAATTTACAGTTTTGACCCTCAGAGATAGGAAAACACAAGTGTTTTATAAAAAAAAGTTATTGGTTTGTGCATGGATTCAGTTTGTTGTGCACTGCTCAATGTTGAATCCTTAAATTCTTGTCTGAAATTAAATAAAAGTTTAATGATCATCATTCTCATCTTCACCATCGTCAACATTGTAATCATCACCACCATCGTATCATCCAAATAATCACTAAGTGATGTTGGGTTGTTGAAGGCATCTTTAAGGTACCAGCTGAGTGCCAGGCCTCTATTTATAGCCTTTAATGATGATATGATTACATATCAGAATACAGGATACTCCAGACTCTGCAGATTGCAAAGGGTGTGAAGGATACATGGGAATGTGGGACATGAGGCATGAGGGTGGAGTAAGGAAGGCAGTCAGCCAAACAAACATTTCACCCATCAGTGCCTCAACCTTTGAAAAAAATCACTGTTGGCTTGCAGAGGCCCTCATGGTGTATGAATAAGTGCATATACTGTATGCTTGTGTATGTGTGTGTGTGTGTGTGTGTGTGCGTCTGTCTGTGAGAGATAGAGAGAGAGAGAGAGAGAGAGAGGTCAAGCAGGTAGAATGTCAAAATCAAAAGATAACTTTAAAATTGCACAACATTTATTGGAATACAACACACATATACAGTATGTTCTATACCACAAGTAGCTGAACATCCGTTTCAGTTCCATATTAAAAGTAAGAAAATATGAATATATAATAAATTCTACATTCATTTTTATAATTTTTCCATCAGGTGATAAAATAAAAGACAGAGCAGCTGTAAGACAACATCACCAAGCTATGATACGGGAGAACACCACAGGGTATGGCATGTACACTACCGTTCAGAAGTTTGGGGTCACTTAGAAATTTCCTTGTTTTCGAAAGAAAAGCAATTTTTTTGTCCATTAAAATAACATCAAATTGATCAGAAATACAGTGTAGACATTGTTAATGTTGTAAATGGCTATTGTAGCTGGAAACGGCTGATTTTTAGTAGAATATCTACATAGGCGCACAGAGGCCCATTATCAGCAACCATCAGTCCAGTGTTCCAATGGCACGTTGGGTTTGCTAATCCAAGTTTATAATTTTAAAAGGCTAATTGATCATTAGAAAACCATTTTGCAATTATATTAGCACAACTGAAAACTGTTGTGCTGATTAAAGAAGAAATAAAACTGGCCTTCTTGAGAGTTTTGACCCCCACTCCCTTTAAGAGTGACACCTGGGAGCCAGAAATCTTTGTGATTGAAAGGGGGTCAAATACTTATTTCCCTCATTAAAATGCAAATCAATTTATGACATTTTTGACATGCGTTTTTCTGGATTTTTTTGTTGTTATTCTGTCTCTCACTGTTCAAATAAACCTACCATTAAAATTATAGACTGATCATTTCTTCGTCAGTGGGCAAACGTACAAAATCAGAAGGGGATCAAATACTTTTTTCCCTCACTGTATTTTAATGGACAAAAAAAACTGCTTTTCTTTCGAAAACAAGGACATTTCTAAGTGACCCCAAACTTTTGAACAGTAGTGTATGTATTGAACCCTATTTGTATTCAAATTTCATTAGGTTTATGCAAGCTCTCAGTGCATCAACAACTATTTGTCCTTTAAACAACCCTATATACAGTACCAGTCAAAAGTTTGGACACACCTACTCATTCAAGGGTTTTTCTTTATTTTTTCTATTTTCTACATTGTAGAATAATAGTGAAGACATCAAAACTATGAAATAACACATATGGAATAATGTAGTAACCAAAAAAGTGTTGAACAAATCTAAATATATTAGAGATTTTAGATTCTTCAAATAGCCACCCTTTGCCTTGATGACAGCTTTGCACACTCTTGGCATTCTCTCAACCAGCTTCATGAGGTAGTCACCTGGAATGCATTTCAATTAACAGGTGTGCCTTCTTAAAAGTCAATTTGTAGAATTTATTTCCTTCTTAATGCGTTTGAGCCAATCAGTTGTGTTGTGACAAGGTAGGGGGGGCATACAGAAGATAGCCCTATTTGGTAAAATACCAAGTCCATATTATGGCAAGAACAGCTCAAATAAGCAAAGAGAAACGTCGGTCCATCATTACTTTAAGACATGAAGGTCAGTCAATCCGGAAAATTTCAAGAACTTTGAAAGTTTCTTCAAGTGCAGTCGCAAAAACCATCAAGCGCTATGATGAAACTGGCTCTCATGAGGACCGCCACAGGAATGGAAGAGTTACCTCTGCTGCAGAGGGTAAATTCATTAGAGTTACCAGCCTCAGAAATTGCAGCCCAAATAAATGCTTCACAGAGTTCAAGTCACAGACACATCTCAACATCAACTGTTCAGACGGGACTGTGTGAATCAAGCCCTCATGGTCGAATTGCTGCAAAGAAACCACTACTAAAGGACACCAATAAGAAGAAGAGACCTGCTTGGGCCAAGAAACACGAGCAATGGACATTAGACCGGTGGAAATTTGTCCTTTGGTCTGGAGTCCAAAATGGAGATTTTTGGTTCCAACCGCTGTGTCTTTGTGAGACGCGGTGTGGGTGAACGGATGATCTCTGCATGTGTAGTTTCCACCGTAAAGCATGGAGGAGGAGGTGTTATGGTGTGGTGGTGCTTTGCTGGTGACACTGTCTGTGATTTATTTAGAATTCAAGGCACACTTAACCAGCATGACTACCACAGCATTCTGCAGCAATACGCCATCCCATCTGGTTTGGGCTTAGTGGGACGATCATTTGTTTTTTAACAGGACATTGACCCAGGCGGTGTAAGGGCTATTTTACCAAGAAGGAGAGTGATGGAGTGCTGCATCAGATGACCTGGCCTCCACAATCCCCCGACATCAACCCAATTGAGATGGTTTGGGATGAGTCGGACGGCAGAGTGAAGGAAAAGCAGCCAACAAGTGCTCAGCATATGTGTGAACTCCTTCAAGACTGTTGGTAAAGCATTCCAGGTGAAGCTGGTTGAGAGAATGCCAAGAGTGTGCAAAGCTGTCATCAAGGCAAAGGGTGGCTATTTGAAGAATCTCAAATATAAAATATATTTTGATTTGTTTAACACTTTTTTGGTTACTACATGATTCCATGTGTGTTATTTCATAGTTCTGATGTCTTCGCTATTATTCTACAATGTAGGAAATAGTAAAAATAAAGAAAAACCCTTGAATGAGTAGGTGTGTCCAAACTTTTGACTGGTAGTGTAGATTATACTATATCTAGATCTATACAATGCAAAACATACACACATAGAAAAGAATGACAGGAATTATGCACCTTTAACCATCTGAGCACAAATCATTTGCCTATGCTCTTTAGGCTAGTGTACAATACTTTTGTGTTTTTGTATGTATTAACAATAAGCATTCATCAAAATTGTATAAAGTGTTACTGTACAATACTGACAATATAACGTTTTTAAGTTTTAGGTCAGAAAACAATCTGTGGGCTGGTTTCATAGACTGCATGTTCCATCAGGTGCGGCCAACAGCATACTGTACATTACAATAAGACCACTGAATGTTCGTTTCTGTTTTCACTACAATGTAAACTGATGTGAAGGTTGTGATCAGAGTAATACAGACAAGACATGACACTGGATTCAAAGGTTGAAGCCCAATCAGCAGATGATGCTCTGAAGAATGTCTGGTCTGATCATGAATGTGCCCAGAGTGGATCCTTCCCCACTGAAGGAGATGATCACTCCTGTTGAATGTTGCCATCTTTCATCCTCCAGCATTCATACAGCATGCTATGGAATTGAATAGAGATAGAATAGTACAAAATAGTTCATTTTTAAGCTCTCCCTTTAATTCTAAATTAAGCAAGAAAAACATTATTATGAGTATGGAATCAGGTACACTGATGGTTGTGATCGTACCGTGGTAAAGTGCACTATGGATAAGATCAGGATGATCAGGAGGCCAATGATCATGGAGGCTATCGCCATGTGAAGGGCTTTCCTACCGAGCCTCTAGGAACCCTCATAGTCCTCCTCATCATAACTGTTCTGAGACTTCAGAAGACAGGAGAGGGAGAAACAGAGAGAGAGGGAGGGAGGACAATAACAATGGGTGAGAGGAGAGTACAGTTGAGGGAGAGCAACATAAAATATCCCTTTTAAACAATTAGAACCATTCATCAATAAATGGTGTACACGTTTTCTATAATGATTAATCAAATAACCATTACTGTAACAGTGTACACTATTAGTGGACACTGGGGAGTAACAGGTAGGTTTCATCCCAGCCAATAAACCATCTAATATTTAGCCAGTGAGTCAGAGGGAAACACACCAGTTAAAGAGATCATAATACTATGAATGGAGGGAAGGGAGATGCTATATCATTGGTGAGTCAGATGAAAGAGCTGGACTGGACCTGTAAACTCAAAATCATTTTTATGGGAAACCCTTACGGCACTGAACAGTTCACTTCTGGGCACTCAGTTGAAGAGAAAATGCTCTTGCTGAACCTCTGTTTCTCACACCGTCCCTGCCTTGGGTGGCATCTTAAATTCATGTTTATATTAAGGTTTGTCAGAGTGCTGTGGATTACTCAGTGTCATGCGCTCCTCATCTTGTTTCTCACAGCCACAAAGCTGCGACAGCTGCCATTGGCACACATTAGGTTTAATGGATCCTTAAGAGTCAAATTAATTAACATAATAAAAAATCCCCATCAAAATCTGTCTGTTTAAGCTAGAGATATCTGTTTTTTTGTATGGGCTGCGTCTCAATCCACCACATCTGCCTGTTTGCCTTCCTCATCTGCTGTGGAAAGTGAGAGAGCTACAACATTGTTTGTCAGACCAGGGGCCTCATTTATAACCGTTGCGTACATTTTATACTAGATATCTGCGTGCACCATTTCTGAAAAGACTGCCCATGCACAAAAATATTGAGATTGATAAACTTGCCGCACACCATACATAGCCGACGCATTTTTCCATTATCAATCAGACCTGTCGTAAAACTGTGCGCGTGTGAACGAGCATTATAACTCTGCCTGAAAACGCCCATCATTCACCTTTTATGATGACAATAATGTCCTTATTTGCTGTATACTTTGGAAGTATTGAAATTAGGCCAAGACAGTATCTAAAGGAAATAGCAATGGCAAACTTTATCAAATGTTTGTGGAGAATGTTTTCTTTTGCAGTGATATTTGGAGTGTAGTCTATCTGACCATTTCTGAAAGACAAAAACAATTGCAAATTGTTGTAGACCTGTAAACAGATAGTTTGATTTCAATAACGTTTCCCATTTACTTTTTCCCATTTACTTATTCCCATTTACTTTTTCCCGAACCTAAATATGCTGCACTGCCCGTGAATTCTGAAACATTGTCTATACTGAAAAAAATGAAAACTACAGTATTTACATTTTAGTCATTTAGCAGACGCTCTTATCCAGAGCGACCTACAGTTAGTGAGTGCATACATTTTTTCTTCTTCATACTGGCCCCCCGTGGGAATCGAACCCACAACCCTGGCGTTGCAAACGCCATGCTCTACCAACTGAGCTACACGGGACTACCTTTGACCTAAAGCTATTCGATTATAGGCCACTGGGCCTGGCACTGTGTCTAATCTAGTTCTCATGGTTCCTATACAATCAATTTCTGTGCAGTCGAGCAGACAATAAAGTTTGAATTCACACTGCCAGTCTCTGGGTCACCACCTCTCTACATCAGTTTGCCAGTCTCTGGGTCACCACCTCTCTACATCAGTCTGCCAGTCTCTGGGTCACCACCTCTCTACATCAGTCTGCCAGTCTCTGGGGTCAACACCTCTCTACATCAGTCTGCCAGTCTCTGGGTCACCACCTCTCTACATCAGTCTGCCAGTCTCTGGGTCACCACCTCTCTACATCAGTCTGCCAGTCTCTGGGTCACCACCTCTCTACATCAGTCTGCCAGTCTCTGGGTCACCACCTCTCTACATCAGTCTGCCAGTCTCTGGGTCACCACCTCTCTACATCAGTCTGCCAGTCTCTGGGTCACCACCTCTCTACATCAGTCTGCCAGTCTCTGGGTCACCACCTCTCTACATCAGTCTGCCAGTCTCTGGGTCACCACCTCTCTACATCAGTCTGCCAGTCTCTGGGTCACCACCTCTCTACATCAGTCTGCCAGTCTCTGGGTCACCACCTCTCTACATCAGTCTGCCAGTCTCTGGGTCACCACCTCTCTACATCAGTCTGCCAGTCTTTGGGTCACCACCTCTCTACATCAGTCTGCCAGTCTCTGGGTCACCACCTCTCTACATCAGTCTGCCAGTCTCTGGGTCACCACCTCTCTAAATCAGTCTGCCAGTCTCTGGGTCACCACCTCTCTACATCAGTCTGCCAGTCTCTGGGTCAACACCTCTCTACATCAGTCTGCCAGTCTCTGGGTCAACACCTCTCTACATCAGTCTGTCAGTGTCTGGGTCACCACCTCTCTACATCAGTCTGCCAGTCTCTGGGTCACCACCTCTCTACATCAGTCTGCCAGTCTCTGGGTCACCACCTCTCTACATCAGCCTGTCAGTCTCTGGGTCACCACCTCTCTACATCAGTCTGTTAGTCTCTGGGTCACCACCTCTCTACATCAGTCTGCCAGTCTCTGGGTCACCACCTCTCTACATCAGTCTGTCAGTCTCTGGGTCACCACCTCAGTAGGCCTACTTACAGTGGTAGCCTACACATTTCAATACAAAACATCAATTGTCCATCAACTGTCTGTTCACCTGTTAAATTCTACTGTATGCATAGAGAAATTATAGGCTAATGGCCCATCTAATACCTGTAGGCCCAATTAAATGAGAGTTTAATGGCAATTTGTTGTATGGCTAGTTCGGGGATAGGAACTCACGTCCAGAAAGGTGAGGAATTTATTTTGCAATGGTTATGATATACTGTATGTATTATGCATTATATTCATAAATGAAATATTGTCTACTCCAGAAATTTGACATTACAGTATTCAGACATAGCCTAAAAACGTCAATGGAAAAGGTGAACCATCTGTTCTACCGTTAAACTGCGCTTCAGTTCGGATCACATAGAGCAAAATACTTGAAATAGCTTATCTACACTGAACAAAAATATAAATGCAACATGTAAAGTGTTAGTCCCATGTCTCAAGAGCTGAAATAAAAGATCCCAGAAATGTTATATATGCACAAAAAGCTTATTTCTCTCAAATGTTGTGCACAAATTTGTTTACATCCTTGTTAGTGAGCATTTCTCTGTTGCCAAGATAATCCATCCACCTGACAGTTGTGGCATATCAATAAGCTGATTAAACAGCATGATCATTATACAGATGCACCTTGTGATGGGGACAATAAAAGGCCACTCTAAAATGTGCAGTTTTGTCACACAACACAATGCCACAGATGTCTCAAGTTTTGAGGGAGCGTGCAATTGGCATGCTGATTGCAGGAATGTCCACCAGAGCTGTTGCCAGAGAATTTGGCAGTACGTCCAACCGGCCTCACAACCGCAGACCACGTGTAACAACGCCAGCCCAGGACCTCCACATCCGTCTTCTTCACCTGCAGGATCGTCTGAGACCAGCCACCCGGACAGCTGATGAAACTGTGGGTTTGCACAACAGAAGACTTTCTGCACAAACTGTCAGAAACCGTCTCAGGGAAGCTTATCTGCATGCTCGTCATCCTCACCAGGGTCTAGACCTGACTGCAGTTCAGCGTCGTAACCAACTTCAGTGAGCAAATGCTCACCTTCGATTGCCACTGGCACGCTGGAGATGTGTGCTCTTCACGGATGAATCCCGGTTTCAACTGTACCGAGCAGATGGCAGACAACGTGTATGGCGCCCAGTTTGCTGATGTCAACATTGTGAACAGAGTGCCCCATGGTGGCAGTGAGGTTATGGTATGGGCAGGCATAAGCTACGGACAAAGAACACAAGGATCTGTACACAATTCCTGGAAGCTGAAGCTGAAAATGTCCCAGTTCTTCCATGGCCTGCATACTCACCAGACATGTCACACATTGAGCATGTTTGGGATGCTCTGGATTCACATGTACGACAGCGTGTTCCAGTTCCCGCCAATATCCAGCAACTTCGCACAGCCATTGAAGAGGAGTGGGACAACATTCCACAGGCCACAATCAATTGCTTGATCAATTCTATGCGAAGGAGATGTATACGTTCGATAAATCCAACATATGCACCACACAGAACGCACACCCAACTGCCTCTGCAATGCAATGCTGCAAGGTAAACGCAGCTTTCCATTGGAAATTAATGTACTTCTGGTGTACCAAAATGTAAATCGCTGTCGGTGTGGGTGTGATTGAGGCGTTACGCCTCGATCACACCGACAGCATCATTGCATTTTCGTACACCAGTGGAACGCTGCGTTCGCCTTAGAGCATTGCGTTGCAGAGGCAGTTGCAGAGGCAGTGCGTTCTGTGTGATGCATACGTTGGATTTATCGAACGTGTGCGTCAAACTGTACGCGTAGACGGCTTGACAGAAATGGTAGCAGAAGGTGAATGTTGAACTTTTGTTGCACACATATCCAGATGACGCTGCGTACTATTTTGATCAAGACGTTACAGAGTAGGCTATGTGTGCTTCAATTAGCTCGCTTGGTGCAGCAGGAAGAACATTGTTGTGTGTGAAAAAATATTAATGTCTAGTTTTGTCACGACTTCGGCCGAGGCTGCCTCCCCTCCTTGTTCGGGCAGGCTTCGGCGTTCGTCGTCACCGGAGTACTAACCACTGCCGCCCCAATCATCATCACAATTGTCTTGTCTTGTCAATCACACACACCTGGTTCTAATCCCCTAATTAGTCTGTGTTCCCTCTGCCCCCCTTGTCCTTGTGGGTGATTGTTTATTGTGGAGGTTAGTGAAGCTCGGTGGAGCTTGTGTATTTTGTATCGACGAGAGTATTTTCCAGTGTGCCTTGTATTTTCCAGTGCACCTGTTTTGTGCCCTGGAGTGTGTTTGACGCATTTCTGCGTAAACCTGTATTTTGCGGATTAAAGCCTGTTATTCTGTGATTACCCTCCTGCGCCTGACTCCTTCAACACCACCTCATCACAAGTTTACACTATCCCTTGAATCTCCCGCAAAATCATCCTGTTGTCCCTCATTTGGGTATTTCTAAATTTCTAAAACACTAGTCTGAAGGTAACCCGGTACCAGTTTAAACAATTCATGGAAGTATGAAAGTAGTTTTGTGCCAACAAAAAAAAAGGGGTTAAATGTGTCCAAATATATATATATATTTCCTGAGCTTTCTTATATCTCCTAGATATAGGACAGACACTTCCTTATGATCATTTTTTGACTGTCTGTTTTGCCATATATGAATGTGTTATTCAATGCGTTTCTATGGGCTGTAGTAGTAATGGCCAAATTCAATATTTTATAAAGAAAATGCATATATACACTACATGGCCAAAAGTAGGTGGACACGCCTTCAAATAAGTGGATTTGGCTATTTCAGCCACACCCGTTGCTGACAGGTGTATAAAATCAAGCACACAGCCATGCAATCTCCATAGACAAACATTGGCAGTAGAATGGGCCGTACTGAAGAGCTCAGTGACTTTCAACATGGCACTGTCATAGGATGCCACCTTTCCAACAAGTCAGTTCGTCAAATTTCTGCCTTGCTAGAGCTGCCCGGTCAACTGTAAGTCCTGTTATTGTGAAGTGGAAATGTCTAGGAGCACCAATGGCTTAGCCATTAAGTAGTAGGCCTCACAAGCTCACAGAACGGGACCACCGAGTGCTGCAGCACGTAGCGCGTAAAAACCGTCTGTCCTCGATTGCGGTTGCAACACTCACTACCGAGTTCCAAACTGCCTCTGGAAGCAACATCAGCACAAGAACTGTTCATCGGGAGCTTCATGAAATGGGTTTCGATGGCCAGGCAGCCGCACACAGGCCAAAGATCACCATGCGCAATGCCAAGTGTCGACTGGAGTGGTGTAAAGCCTGCCGCCAGTGGACTCTGGAGCAATGGAAACGCGCTCTCTGGAGTGATGAATCACGTTTCACCATCTGGCAGTCCACAGACAAATCTGGGTTTGGCGGATGCCAGGAGAACGCTACCTGCCCGAATGCATAGTGCCAACTGTAAAGTTTGGTGGATGAGTAATAATGGTCTGGGGCTGTTTTTCATGGTTCAGGCTAGGCCCCTTAGTTCCAGTGAAGGGAAATCTTAACGCTACAGCATATAATGACATTCTAGGCGAATCTGTGCTTCCAACTTTGTGGCAACAGTTTGGAGAAGGCCCTTTCCTGTTTCAGCATGACAGTGCCCCCGTGCACAAAAAGAGGTCCATACAGAAATGGTTTGTCAAGATCGATGTGGGAGAACATGACTGGCCTGCATCTAGTGGAAAGCCTTCCCAGAAGAGTTGAGGCTGTTATAGCAGCAAAGGGGGGACCACTCCATAATAATGCCCATGATTTTGGAATGAGATGTTCGACGAGCAGGTGTCCATATACTTTTGGTCATGTAGTTTATATATTAATTTGATTCCTACAGGGGACCTAAAATTCCATGCTATGACCATATTAAAACAAAGGAAAGGAGAGAGTCAACAAAACCCTGTCATATACAGATGGAGGCCATTCAGAAGTATGTCTCTCCACCCTAAACCCCTTTGCTGATACTTCAGAAACAATATAGCTTTAATCCAAATTTGTACACTCAGGGCTGAATACTAACTTGACATAACTGATGCGTTAACCTCTACGGGATCGGTGTCCCGTATACGGGACCATTGAGCTAACATGCGCTAATGTGATTACCATGACTGTTGTAAGTAACAGCAAACTTTCCAGGACATACAGTGGCTTGCGAAAGTATTCACCCCCCTTGGCATTTTTCCTATTTTCTTTCCTTACAACCTGGAATTAAAATGGATTTTGGGGGGGTTTGTATCATTTGATTTACACAACATGCCTACCACTTTGAAGATGCAAAATATTTTTTTATTGTGAAACAAACAAGAAATAAGACAACAAAAAAAGAAAACTTGAACCCCCCCCCCCCGAAGTCAATACTTTGTAGAGCAACCTTTTGCAGCAATTACAGCTGCAAGTCTCTTAGGGTATGTCTCTATAAGCTTGGCACATCTAGCCACTGGGATTTTTGCCCATTCTTCAAGGCAAAACTGTTCCAGCTCCTTCAAGTTGGATGGGTTCCGCTGGTGTACAGCAATCTTTAAGTCATACCACAGATTCTCAATTGGATTGACCAGGCCATTCCAAGACATTTAAATGTTTCCCCTTAAACCACTCGAGTGTTGCTTTAGCAGAATGCTTAGGGTCATTGTCCTGCTGGAAGGTGAACCTCCGTCCCAGTCTCAAATCTCTGGAAGACTGAAACAAGTTTCCCTCAAGAATTTCCCTGTATTCAGGGCCATCGATCATTCCTTCAATTCTGACCAGTTTCCCAGTCCTTGCTGATGAAAAACATCCCCACAGCATGATTCTGCCACCACCATGCTTCACTGTGGGGACGGTGTTCTCGGGGTGATGAGAGGTGTTGGGTTTGCGCCAGACATAGTGTTTTCCTTGATGGCCAAAAAGCTCAATTTTAGTCTCATCTGACCAGAGTCCCTTCTTCCATATGTTTTGGGAGTCTTCCACATGCCTTTTGGTGAACACCAAACGTGTTTGCTTATTTTTTTCTTTAAGCAATGGCTTTTTTCTGGCCACTCTTCCGTAAAGCCCAGCTCTGTGGAGTGTACGGCTTAAAGTGGTCCTATGGACAGATACTCCAATCTCCGCTGTGGAGCTTTGCAGCTCCTTCAGGGTTATCTTTGGTCTCTTTGTTGCCTCTCTGATTAATGCCCTCCTTGCCTGGTCCGTGAGTTTTGGTGGGCGGTCCTCTCTTGGCAGGTTTGTTGTGGTGCCATATCTTTCCATTTTTTAATAATAGATTTAATGGTGCTCCGTGGGATGTTCAAAGTTTCAGATATTTGTTTTATAACCCAACCCTGATCCCTGATCTGTACTTTTCCACTCCTTGGTGTTCATGGTGCTGCTTGCTTGGTGGTGCCCCTTGCTTAGTGGTGTTGCAGACTCTGGGGCCTTTCAGAACAGGTGTATACCTACTGAGATCATGTGACACTTAGATTGCACACAGGTGGACTTTATTTAACTAATTATGTGACTTCTGAAGGTAATTGGTTGCACCAGATTTGAGGAGAGTGCACAACAACAAAAAACTTATCACGGCAACTGGTTTGATACATTCACCTCTGAAGGTAAATAATGTACTTACATTCAGTAATCTTGCTCTGATTTGTAATCCTAAGGGTCACAGATATAAAATGTAGCATAGTTTTGTTTGATAAAATCCATTTTTATATTCAAATGTAGGAACTGGGTTCTACAGTTTGAACCCCTGCTGTCTCAGGCTCCACACCCACCTCGCCCGGCCATCTAGATGTGTGAAAGTTAGTGTATAAGCTAATGATCCATCATGTATGACATTTCTGGGAGTGTGTAAACTTACATTTTGTATTACCATATCATTTTTGTATGTTCTCTATAGTTATGTACTTGAAAATGTATCAATTGACCAATTTGGCACATTTGGCAGACATGATACAAAATAGTCCAGTATTGCAATGCTTCACTGGATCAATCTGAAACTTTGCACACACATTGCTGCCATCTAGTGGCCAACATCTAAATTGCGCCTAAACTGCAATATTATATTGTGGTCTTTCTCTTGCATTTCAAAGATGATGGAATAAAAAAATGAATAGAAAACGCATGTTTGTATTATCTTTTACCAGATCTAATGTGTTATATTCTCCTGCATTAATTTAACATTTCCACAAACTTCAGAGTGTTTCCTTTCAAATGGTTTAAAAATATGCATATCCTTGCTTCAGGTCCTGAGCTACAGGCAGTTAGATTTGGGTATGTCATTTTAGGCGAAAATTGAAAAAAAGGGTCAGATCCTTAAGAGGTTAACTTAGACTGTCACACAAATCATACATTGATGTCACATACTCTTAATCAGTCCATATGTTCTTCCTGCCCTACAGTACTGCTGTTGGGGGGGGGGGGGGGGGGGGGGGGGGGGGGGAGGACTACACTCACAATACAGTCATTATATTGTGCAAAACTGTGTCCATTTCATTTGGTTGTCTACACTCTTCCTGAATGTTAACCCTCCAACACATCTGTGATCTGTGATTTGACACAGTCGTGGACATATATCCAATTATGTAGTTGAACTTGACCTCAGCTCCAGTCATGACCGAGCACACATCATCAGCATTATGTGTACGTGTGTGTGATGCAGACGGGGGTTCAAAGAGGTGGACAGGCTATTTTTGTAACTCATGAGACTGAAGTTCACAGGCACACTGACTCATTAGCCATTCAGTGATCATACACCACTGACACACTTTCACTGAGACAGGTGCATCACACAGAACAGCATATATAATTTCAATTCAACTGTTGTACCACAAAACGACCATGAAGAGATGTCATGGCTGAGATTTCATTCATGATATTATACTGCTAATGAAATTATCAATGTTTTTCAATAAACATTTTTAAACACAGTCAAAATAACCAGTCCTCAATATCTAAACAATATCCAGAAATAAAAGAGGTCACATATCATTGATCAGGCTCACCAGTACAGAGAAGACCAGAGCCACGATGTTGACAGGCCAGGCTGGGCAGAAGCAGGTGAGGATGGTAAGGTAGACATAGTTCTTCAGAGGGGGGATCTCCTGGGCCTCCCTGTCCCCCAAGTGGTCAGCACTCACATCCAGCGGCTGCTTAGTCTTCACCTCCGTAGGCTGGAGCGTCCCTGGAGACATCGGACCAGCTAAACAGGTCACACTGGTCACACTGGTCAGTCAGAGATGGACAGAAAGGAGGTAGAGGAGCCAGGTAAAAAAGTAAGCCAACGTCTGGGAGGAAAAACCCGACCTGGGGAAGAGTGTCTTAAGACTGTCTTAGGCGTGAGAAGACTGAAGCATACTGGGGGCTCCAGCCAGAGATGAGAGATTACCTAATTACTTTCAGGGGTGAATACTATCCTTCTTCTGAAAAAGAAGGAGGGGCACTAGAGGACGGAGAGAGGGAGGGACAGGGAAGAAAGAGAGATGAACGGGGTTCAAGAGAGAAAAAGTGAAGAGAAAGTAGATTAAGGCATGCACATAGGGCCCTATTCCGACTTAGGAAATTACGCCTTTCTTACCATGCCTTTCCTACACACTTAGTAGTTTGTATTCAGACTTACCTTGTGCAGGTGCTTAATGGGCTTTGCAGGCGTGGTTCTCTTGCGCACGCTGAATTAATGTAATTCAACTGCTGAAAACCCTCCCACTTGCTAGCCAACAGATTTTCTCGTGGAGTTTTCATTCAATAGGGTTTTCAGTAAATATATCTGAAGCCATCCCTTTAAATACGGTGTACCTTTTAGTTGGAATTTTGTCCACAGACTCACTAGAATATATGGAGAGAACGGGTTCAGAATATTAGGGATCATGTAAGAAAGCCATCAAAATACACTGCTCAAAAAAATAAAGGGAACACTTAAACAACACAATGTAACTCCAAGTCAATCACACTTCTGTGAAATCAAACTGTCCACTTAGGAAGCAACACTGATTGACAATACATTTCACATGCTGTTGTGCAAATGGAATAGACAACAGGTGGAAATTATAGGCAATTAGCAAGACACCCCCAATAAAGAAGTGGTTCTGCAGGTGGTGACCACAGACCACATCTCAGTTCCTATGCTTCCTGGCTGATGTTTTGGTCACTTTTGAATGCTGGCGGTGCTTTCACTCTAGTGGTAGCATGAGACGGAGTCTACAACCCACACAAGTGGCTCAGGTAGTGCAGCTCATCCAGGATGGCACATCAATGCGAGCTGTGGCAAGAAGGTTTGCTGTGTCTGTCAGCGTAGTGTCCAGAGCATGGAGGCGCTACCAGGAGACAGGCCAGTACATCAGGAGACGTGGAGGAGGCCGTAGGAGGGCAACAACCCAGCAGCAGGACCGCTACCTCCGCCTTTGTGCAAGGAGGAGCAGGAGGAGCACTGCCAGAGCCCTGCAAAATGACCTCCAGCAGGCCACAAATGTGCATGTGTCTGCTCAAACGGTCAGAAACAGACTCCATGAGGGTGGTATGAGGGCCCGACGTCCACAGGTGGGGGTTGTGCTTGCAGCCCAACACTGTGCAGGACGTTTGGCATTTGCCAGAGAACACCAAGATTGGCAAATTCGCCACTGGCGCCGTGGAGAACGTTCTGCTGCCTGCAACATCCTCCAGCATGACCGGTTTGGCGGTGGGTCAGTCATGGTGTGGGGTGACATTTCTTTGGGGGGCCGCACAGCCCTCCATGTGCTTGCCAGAGGTAGCCTGACTGCCATTAGGTACCGAGATGAGATCCTCAGACCCCTTGTGAGACCATATGCTGGTGCGGTTGGCCCTGGGTTCCTCCTAATGCAAGACAATGCTAGACCTCATGTGGCTGGAGTGTGTCAGCAGTTCCTGCAAGAGGAAGGCATTGATGCTATGGACTGGCCCGCCCGTTCCCCAGACCTGAATCCAATTGAGCACATCTGGGACATCATGTCTCGCTCCATCCACCAACGCCACGTTGCACTACAGACTGTCTAGGAGTTGGCGGATGCTTTAGTCCAGGTCTGGGAGGAAATTCCTCAGGAGACCATCCGCCACCTCATCAGGAGCATGCCCAGGCATTGTAGGGAGGTCATAAAGGCACGTGGAGGCCACACACACTACTGAGCCTCATTTTGACTTGTTTTAAGGACATTACATCAAAGTTGGATCAGCCTGTAGTGTGGTTTTCCACTTTAATTTTGAGGGTGACTCCATATCCAGACCTCCATGGGTTGATAAATTTGATTTCCATTGATCATTTTTGTGTGATTTTGTTGTCAGCACATTCAACTATGTAAAGAAAAAAGTATTTAATAAGATTATTTCATTCATTCAGATCTAGGATGTGTTGTTTAAGTGTTCCCTTTATTTTTTTGATTAGTGTATGTGGCTATTCGTCTCTGTTTCTGCAGCAATTGGTAGATAGAAATGTATTTAGGGTTAGGAAAGTATTTATGAATCATAAAAAAACAGTTTAGGATAGCCTTTACGCATGAAAGAAAGCAAACAGTGGTTTGATTCATTCTGAAAAGTGACACATTCAGTTCTTCAACCCATGGTAATGTTGGAAGATTAGTGTACATAGAATTATATTTGGGAGAATGGTGTACAATAGTAGGCTATAGCGTCGTCTATTGACTGCACTATCCATGGAACTGTGTCATGACACAGCCTAGTATTGCGTCATGCATCGGGTTCAAACTGTTACGGCTTGGTCTGTGCTCCACTCCATAACAATTTAATGTATCAACTGCTACTAATGATCCTCAGCAACAACCACATGGCCATGACGGCGTTTACAGAGGAAGCAAATTAAGGTAAATGAAACAATGTAATGATAATGTAGGCTATACCAACTGAAGGGAATTAACAGTAAATTGTTAGTTTAATATGTTTAACATTTTTTTAAACATTTTAGTCATTTAGCAGACGCTCTTATCCAGAGCGACTTACAGGAGCAATTAGGGTTAAGTGCCTTGCTTAAGGGCACATCGACAGATTTTTCACCTAGTCGGCTCGGGGATTAGAACCAGCGACCTTTCGGTTACTGGCACAACGCGCTTACCCACTAAGCTACCTGCCGCCCCCATATGTGTGTCACGCCCTGACATAGAGATCTCTAGTTGGTTTGGTCAGGGTGTGAATATCTATGTGAATATCTATGTTGACATTCTATGTTATCTATTTCTATGTTGGTCGGGTGTGGTTCCCAATCAGAGGCAGCTGTCGATCGTTGTCTCTGATTGGGGATCATACTTAGGCAGCCATTTTGCCTACCTATGTTGTGGGATCTTGTTTCTGGTTTGGCTTGTTTATGTGTAGCCCATTAGAACCTCAGGTTACGTTGCGTTTGTTGTTTTGTCGTGTGTTTACTTCTTAATTAAACATGTACGCATACCACACTGCACCTTGGTCCAATCCTTTACTCAACGAACGTGTCAGAAGATCCCACCACCAACGGACCAAGCAGCGTGAACAGGAAGAGCAGACAACATGGACATGGGAGGATATTTTGGACGGTAAGGGATCCTGGACTTGGGAAGAGATCCAGGCAGGTATGGATCGCTTTCCTTGGGAGCAGACGGAGACACAGAGGGAGAATCAACGGCGACGCCAAAGGTGCCGACGACGAATGAGGCCCGAGAGGCAACCCCAAGAAAATGTTTGGGGGGCACACGGGGTGGTCGACGAGGCAGCAGGAGGCAGTGAAAAGGCTGACTGTGGAGGAGGAGGAGGCCGCTATAGTAGAGGCCCTCCAAGACCTGCAGCTCAGCAGTCTGAGAGAGGAGACCACCACATTGCGGGGGCTGTTAGCTCAGAGGGAGCAGGAGTTCTCCCTTCAGAGGGAGGCGCTACAGGAGGCTCACAGGGAGAAGGAGTCAGTGGATGCACTGAGAGAGGAGTTGGCCAGGCAACAGGAGGAGCTGAGAGAGGAGTTAACCCTTCAGCAGCAGAGAGCTCAGTACTTAGAGCAGAGGCTGGCGAAGCCTTGTTGCAGCCGACTCCCTGCTCTCGCTTTGAGGAGCGTATGACCGTGCAGGCACCAGGCTATGCACCGACGTTGCGCATTGTGCCGCCAGGGCGCCTTCACAGACCCGTGGTGCGTGTCCCCAGTGTGGTAAGGCCCGTTCCTGCTCCTCGCACCAAACCAGTGGTGCGTGTATCCAGTTCGGTACGATCCGTACCTGCTCCTCGCACCAAACCAGTGGTGCGTGTATCCAGTCCAGTACGGCCCGTTCCTGCTCCTCGCACCAAACCAGTGGTGCGTGTCGCCAGCCCGGTACGCCCCGTACCTGCTCCCCACACCAAACCAGTGGTGCGTGGCGCCAGCCCGGTGCGCCCCGTACCTGCTCCTCGCACCAGACTAGTGGTGCGTGTCCCCAGCCCGGTACGGCCCGTGCCTGCTCCTCGCACTAGACTAGTGGTGCGTGTCCCCAGCCCGGTACGGTCCAGTCCAGGGTCAGAGCAGTCCGCTCCACCGGTGCCTAATCCAGCTCCGGTCAGCTGCTCCACTCCAGTGCCAGAGCAGTCCGCTCCACCGGTGCCCAGTCCAGCTCCGGTTAGCTGCTACAGTCCAATGCCAGAGCAGTCCGCTCCACCGGTGCCTAGTCCAGCCCCGGTCAGCTGCTCCAGTTCAGAGCCAGAGCAGTCCGCTCCACCGGGGTCCATTTCAGCTCCGGTCAGCTGCTCCACTCCAGTGCCAGAGCAGTCCGCTCCACCGGTGCCTAGTCCAGCTCCGGTTAGCTGCTACAGTCCAATGCCAGAGCAGTCCGCTCCACCGGTGCCTAGTCCAGCCCCGGTCAGCTGCTCCAGTCCAGAGCCAGAGCAGTCCGCTCCACCGGGGTCCATTTCAGCTCCGGTCAGCGGCTCCACTCCAGTGCCAGAGCAGTCTGCTCCACTGGTGCCTAGTCCGGGTCCGGTCATCTACTCTCCCACACCAGGGTCCAGACAGGACTTGGTGCATCGTGGGAGGACGGCAGAGCCAGAACCAGACGTTAACCCCTCTCCAGGGTCGGGGTCTCCCACACCAGGGTCCAGACAGGGCTTGGTGCATCACGGGAGGCTTGCCGGTCCAGGCCCAGATGTCAGCCCCTCTACAGGGTCGGGGCCTACCACACCAGGGTCCAGACAGGGCTTGGTGCATTGTGGGAGGACTGAGAGGGGAAGCATCGCGCCGGGGTCCAGACCGGACCAGGTGTGCAACGGGGAGCCAGAAAAGGAGAGGACAGTAGGGTTGACGTCGCGCCCGGTGCCGCCACCGAGGCTAAATGCCCACCCGGACCCTCCCCTAATGAGTCAGGTTGGTGCGCACCTTTGGGTGGGTACTGTCACGCCCTGACATAGAGATCTCTAGTTGGTTTGGTCAGGGTGTGAATATCTATGTTGACATTCTATGTTATCTATTTCTATGTTGGCCGGGTGTGGTTCCCAATCAGAGGCAGCTGTCGATCGTTGTCTCTGATTGGGGATCATACTTAGGCAGCCATTTTGCCTACCTATGTTGTGGTATCTTGTTTCTGGTTTGGCTTGTTTATGTGTAGCCCATTAGAACGTCACGTTACTTTTGTTGTTTTGTCGTGTGTTTACTTCTTAATTAAACATGTACGTATACCACACTGCACCTTGGTCCAATCCTTTACTCAATGGACGTGACAGTGTGGTTGTTAGGCCTACTGATGGTCAATACTGATAGTGGCTAATATTTAACATGATAGAAATAGGAAACTGAGAAAGTCAGGGACATTTGAGTGCCCATCCCTGCAAGTTAAAGCTACAATATGTAACTTTTTGGGTGACCCTACCAAATTCACATAGAAATGTGAGTTATAGATCTGTCACTCACATTGAAATCAACTCTAAGAAGCGGTATATCTGTTCTATGTGCGCTATTTCTATGCGTCCCGTTCTTAAGTTTCGTTTTTGCATCTTTTACTTTAGGTTTTGTACAGTATTTTTTGTTACTGAAAATATATTTCACAGTGGTTTAGACGGTACTCTACACTATACTTGGCTTGTTTTGTCACATAAACTGAAATTAGGCGAACTATTAGAAATTTAGCAAGCAGGAAATGGTAGAGCAATTTAAATTCTGCATAATGGCACAACATTTCATAAACTTTACTGTGGGAAAGTTGATATGCTTCAGTTTGCTGCCATATGACTGGTTTCACATTTGTCTCCAGTGAGTATAAGGTAAAATGTATCGAAAACAAGTGTTGTTTATATTTAAAATTCCCTTATCCAAATGGATTACTAATTTACCTACCTCTTATCAGTAGCTCTTATGAACTAAATTACAGTGCATAACGAATGGTGTTATTTCTATTAGAAAAACATTTAAAAAATGCTTTTCCCACTTGGAACCAGTATGTTCGCTAGACATTCATGGTTTCCTAATGTGTAAAGGTGGTGGAATTATTTGGGAATTAAGTCAAGGTCAGAATACACAGTATCTGTAGACACACCTGCACCTGCACCTCCGCCACACGTTCATTTATTCGACCTTCACCCCAAAAGAATAGCGGGTGAATAGCATACTATTCTCATTCTTAAATTCAAGGTCAGAATATGCATAGAGAGAAAAGCGCATAAAAAGGGAATTACATTCCATTTACGCATGCTTAACTCAGCTCAGAATCGGCCCAATTGAGAGAAGAGAGAAAGAGAGCAGGAAAATATTTTGACACAGGGATAGGAGCAATGATTTATATATACACTAGATTACCAATTGGTGTCGCTGTGTTGAAGGCACCGTGAGCCTACATCTTGGCACTCCCCCCACGTTCTAAAAAATATTTAGGAAACTATAGAAATGTATTTATTAATGTCTATATTCGTTTTTGCCACATGTATAATATTGCAGACACCTTAATGCATACTTTTAAATTATATTATGTGAGCTAAACATAAATAAATAAAATATATCAATATATTAAAACATTTTCCTTAAAATATATATTTTTTAGATGACTAATGTTACTGTCCCGTCTACAACAAAAAATGACTTAATTACATGTCATTTTGTCCTTGAAACATTTAATTGATATACTGTAGAATTCTATTAAGTCCTATTGAGGACTACTCCGACTGGGGAGGTCCAATATGACCGACTGGTGGGTTTATATACAACATTGGATAGGAGTGAGACATGGGGTGCGTTCTAGCGGATTACTTTTGTTAAATCGGTGACCAACTTTAAGTGTGTTGTATTGTGGGGATAAAAATGGTCCGATTTGTGCCTACATGTCGACTGCATGAACTTTATAACAACCATGTGATAAACATACATTTTCTTCAGTTGCTCCTCACTAGCTGCAACTTGCAGCCATCGCCTGCATTGTGGGAGGCATTATTTGTCAACCAATCGTGTTTTTGTTTGACCCACGCGAACGGGACCAAAGACATGACTGAAACAGCAAGCAACTTTGCTGCAATTCATATGTATACAGTGGATATGTACAAATTAAATTGATATTTGAGGCTCTCTCGCCCCAATTGATAGTATAATGTAGGCTACGCACATATTTAGTGTGTGATATGGGGGTTGGAGACATGTTTATTTCGACATTACAAGTAAAAGGCTTTTTTTTTTAATGGCTACACTGCAATGTTGCACTAAACCTGGCTGTTGGAGAACTACATCAGTTTCTGACTTTCGGCTGTATACAGATGCACCTCCTCGACTTTAGACTGCAGTCGCGTGCTTCAGCCTTACTACTCAAACAAGCCCCATGGTGATGGAGGTTGGGAGATTATGGACAAATCATGGACCATGACGTTTGTGGGCCTCTGCCCATTGTAAATGGCTCAGAAGAGTAACGTAATGGCAATTCACCTAAGAATCACTACTTTGATTACTTTAAATGTACTTTTCCATTATGCTTACATTTCCAATATGGATGCATACCACATTGGGGCTAGTTAACCTAAATGATTACATTGCTTGAGTGTTTCCAAACCTTGAAAGTAGTCTATGGAGAGACTGCAATACCCTTTATATCTGACATACAGTATACTAGTCATGTTATGTCACTGTTTTTACTTTTTATGTAGCTACACCTTTTGGAGCTTGAAAATCAATCCATTACTACCCCCTCCCTTCCTCCTCTCATATGGTTTCTAAACCTTTTCATGAAAACAATGTTTGGAAAGACAGTTACAACCAAAGCATAAATGGAATGTTTTAAAATAATTTATTAGGAATTTTAAAAAGTATTTTTCCAAAGAAAAAAAGAGAACAGGAAGAAAAAAAACTGAAAGAGGGTTACAGTGTTGACAAGAACATTACCTTTCAGAGTAAACACAGAATCCAAAGGCTGCAACACCGTGGCAATCAGCAGGCTTAGAAAAATATCAAAATCTACAACTTGGTGATAGAAATTGACAGCGCCTCTTTTTCTTAAACTAACCATAACATTAAAACACTTTATTTTGACCTCCCAGTGCAACAACGTAACATTTCTGAACAAAATGATTGCGTTCTCTTTAAAAAGTATATTGCTTCTTATGAGTTTCATGGCTACAGTCTGAATCACCCAGTAGATATGTAGTGTCTCTGTCAGTGTGGAGGGGTTGAGAAATACAAACAATCTCATCATGGAAGAGCCTCAGGACCACCTCTGAGATAATGTTAATTTAGCAATGAACGGAATGAACAAATCCCTTCCACACACCGACAGAGACAAGGAAGTTCAGTAACAAACAAAAATAGCAGTAATAAATTCACATTTACCACCAATGTATCCATTCCCTGACAATATGTTTCACACCTGATGCCAATAAGTGTGACCACATATAGCCATACAATGCACACACACACACAAACGCGCACTCACTCGCATCAACACAATCTGCAGAAGAATTTAGTCGTGAAATCGTACCATTGTGAAACTGTTTTACGACTTTCTGCATACTTGTCCTTCATTTTCCTTTACAACCATTACATATTAAAAATGATAATTCTAAAACAACAATAAAATAACACAGTACCAAGTAATGAGGAAAGAAACAGCTAGTTTTTCTCATATTAAAGTAGTATCCCAACACTCGCGTCCCCCACGTTAATGTAACATCTCAAGCTTTCTCTCTCCCAGTGCTGATAAAAGGGATTCCTGGGTGAATTCACAGTATAGGAGAAAACCCTTTCACTCTGACAGACCTGGGCCAGTCTCACAACTCAGACAACTAAATATTATGAATCAAACAAATACATCAGTAATAAACCAGCACATAAACCCTCCCATAAAACTATATCATAACTTAATGTTAGTGTCATGAATGTTGTCCAGTGGAAAGGGAATTATAAAACTGACTGACAGAAACACTGTGATAATGACTGGCCCCCCGTTTCTATGATACTATGATATGGAACAGTCTGGGTTTCCAACACTGAACAGGATAAATGAAACTACAAAACCATCTGCTGAAAACAAATACCATCTCACCATTTCCCCCTGCCCTCCCAACACCGTTCATTTTTTGCAGAATCCAAAAGACAGTTATATTTACAATATTTTACAAAAACAGACATCGCACGGTTCAATCTAACTGGAAATAGACTCATGATTATCAATTTTGTTACTTTGATCATTATTAGTATAACAAATGTTTGCTAAAAACCTACCAAGACATGCATTTGTCAACATTGTAATACATTTTAAAAATTTGATTTATTAATCAGAAATGTTCTGTTAAAATTCAGTATGAACTAAAAGACAAATATACACTTATTCAGTAGAAATTATTGCTCCAGTCCTTCACATATTTCGTACCTGGAGATCACTCTTTCTCCCTCTCCGCCTCTCAATAAAACACCTTCTGAACAAAAATGTACCAAAAATCAAAACAAAGAATCAAGACATATGAGATTACATTACAATTTTCACTAAACTTTTAAGTGAAATAAAACAAAAGAAAAAAGTAGCTAGAATTATCTGCATGTCTTTCTAATACAAGCAGAAACGTTTTAAATGTTGTTGTTCCTTTCTGCTAAATACAGTAACATGTTAGACAGTAGGTGATGTTAAGACAGAACACAGGAAGAAGAGAGATACTCAGTGGGAGGAGGGGAAGGGACATCAGGGGTCAAGGGTCAGGGTTCAAACTGCATGGTCACACAGCCAGAGAGGAGTAACCATAGAGAGACATGTCAGATCAGCTCAAAGCAGCTTCAACTCCTTCCATCTCTCAGGTCACAGACCTGCAGAGAAATAGAGACCATGTTTATTCTATTTCCATGTTTCTATTAGACAACATATCTATACATTCCTTACAATAAATGTACAGTCAATTAGAGTGATTCATTTGAATGGAACATGACTCTTCTGAGTATGTGATCCTGTTGGTGGTGTAGCAGCAGACTCACTCTCTCAGTGGTAGCCGTTAGTGAAAGCCGTAGCAATCAGAGGGCCCTGTAGAGAGCAGTCAGACACACAGGAGAGATTAGAGGGAGCGCCCAGTCATCACAACACAACGACCAACACCCTCAACATCACCAATATCACACTCAACAATACAATAACACAACCCTCACCAAATGTGCCAGCAAAGTCTGTCAAAATAGACAGTATAGATAGACTCTCATTTAAAAGTCACACAATGACAGACATAATCTTATGCTCATACAGTCATAACAAAGGAATGGACACTGAGACACTGTCACTAGCCGGCTACCACCCGGTACTCTACCCTGCACCTTAGAGACCGCTACCCTATGTACATAGAACACTGGACACTTAAATAATGTTTACATACTGTTTTACGCACTTTATATGTGTATCATGTATTCTTGTCAAGGCTCATTCTATATGCTATACACACCTTTTCTATTCACATACTGACCATACTGTCTATACACACCATTCTCATATATATTCTTTATATTCCGAACTCTGGTCCGGAAGCTAATTTCATGCAATTCTATCCATTTTGCTATGGGGTTTTGTACTGTGTATTTATACACTGTATTCTTGACATAGCTCATTCTAATATTTCTACTACTGTACATTGCATTTTAGTTCACTGTTTATACACACCGCATATATATTTATATTCTGGATTCTTGACATAGTTCACTCTAACATATCCACTGCTGTACATATCATTCCTAGTATATCTTGTATAAATCCTGTGTACATATGCATAGATTGCATTTGGATTGTTAATTGGATTGGTTTCAACATTTCTTTCTTTTAACTTTTTGGATTATATGTGTATTGCTAGGTATTACTGCACTCTTGGAGCTAGAAACACAATCATTTCGCTGCACCTGCGATAACATCTGCAAATCTGTGTATGCGACCAATAAACTTTGATTTGATATTACACTCGATCTTTAAACACGTGCCAAGATCAACATCTTACAAGCACTGCTATGTAACATAGATATTCTTCCTATGACAAACTGAACAGATAGTTTGCATTACCAAAAATTAATAGGGTCTAAAATACCTACGTGATAAGGGCTGTGTCTTACCCCCAGACTATGGCCGAACCCAGTGCTTGGGGAGGGGCTTGCAGCGCTGAGGTAGCTGCTGACAGCAGACTCCTGACTAGCTGCTGCATATAAGTCTGCCATTGGCCCAGGGCTGCTGGTGCCCAGGAACCCCCCCGAACGAGAGGGGGTAGAGCCTAAAATACCAAATACAGATGCAAATAAGTGGACAGTCACACAATTAAGTACACAGAAGAAATACTGTACAACAAACGGACAATTTCTCCATTCAGTCATACCCTGACAGAGATAAAGATGAAAGAGGTTTCAAGTCATACCAGTGGAGGCTCCTCAGAGGAGGAAGGGGAGGACCATCCTCCTCAGTGAATTTCAGAAAAATAGTGAAACATTAAAAAAGTTATCCTTTTTAGATAAAACTATACTAAATATATTCACGTTACCAAATGATTAATTAAAACACACTGTTTTACAATGAAGTTCTACAGTAGCCTCAACATCACACTCTGGGGTAGCACCATGGTGTAGCCGGAGGACAGCTAGTTTCCATCCTCCTCTGGGTACATTGACTTCAATACAAAATTTAGGAGGCTCATGGTTCTCACCCCCTTCCTTAGACTTACACAGTAATAGTGGCAACTTCCGGAGGACGTCCTCCAACCTATTAGAGCTCTTGCAGCATGAACTGACATGTTGTCCACCCAATCAAAGGATCAGAGAATGAATCTAGTACATTTTAGCGGCCCCCCTCGTGACAGCGAAGAGAAATTAAAAAAATAGTTTAAAAGTTAATTTCCTGCAATTCTGCACATTTTGCCATGGGGCGGAGAGAAGATTTAGCAATTTTATAACTAATTTCATGCAATTCTACTCATTTTGCCATGGGGTGGAGAGAAAAATGTGCAGTTTTACAGCTACTTTCCTGCAATTCTATACATTTTGCCATAGGGTGGAGGCAAATGTTTGCAGTTATAATATGATAACTGATGATCAATGCCGGTCGGTAATTCGACCATGCTTACTACAAGTTAAGATAGCTGGCCGCTAGACTAACTTACCAATCAAAAACATTTTAGCTGGGCTAATTGAGTGACTGCTGATGCACAACCACATTTCTAAATTGCACCTTGTGCATCCTATTATTCTAACTCTCAACAGTATGTTGAGACCCCGACTAAGCTATATACAGTGGGGAGAACAAGTATTTGATACACTGCCGATTTTGCAGGTTTTCCTACTTTAAAAAAAAAAAAAAAAAAACTTACAAAGCATGTAGAGGTCTGTCATTTTTATCATAGGTACACTTCAACTGTGAGAGACGGAATCTAAAACAAAAATCCAGAAAATCACATTGTATGATTTTTAAGTAATTAATTAGCATTTTATTGCATGACATAAGTATTTGATCACCTACCAACCAGTAAGAATTCCGGCTCTCACAGACCTGTTCGTTTTTCTTTAAGAAGCCCTCCTGTTCTCCACTCATTACCTGTATTAACTGCACATGTTTGAACGTGTTACCTGTATAAAAGACACCTGTCCACACACTCAATCAAACAGACTCCAACCTCTCCACAATGGCCAAGACCAGAGAGCTGTGTAAGGACATCAGGGATAAAATTGTAGACCTGCACAAGGTTGGGATGGGCTACAGGACAATAGGCAAGCAGCTTGGTGAGAAGGCAACAACTGTTGGCGCAATTATTAGAAAATGGAAGAAGTTCAAGATGACGGTCAATCACCCTCGGTCTGGGGCTCTATGCAAGATCTCACCTCGTGGGGCATCAATGATCATGAGGAAGGTGAGGGATCAGCCCAGAACTTCACGGCAGGACCTGGTCAATGACCTGAAGAGAGCTGGGACCACAGTCTCAAAGAAAACCATTAGTAACACACTACGCCGTCATGGATTAAAATCCTGCAGCGCACGCAAGGTCCCCCTGCTCAAGCCAGCGCATGTCCAGGCCCGTCTGAAGTTTGCCAATGACCATCTGGATGATCCAGAGGAGGAATGGGAGAAGGTAATGTGGTCTGATGAGACAAAAATAGAGCTTTTTGGTCTAAACTCCACTCGCCGTGTTTGGAGGAAGAAGAAGGATGAGTACAACCCCAATAACGCCATCCCAACCGTGAAGCATGGAGGTAGAAACATCATTCTTTGGGGATGCTTTTCTGCAAAGGGGACAGGACGACTGCACCGTATTGATGGGAGGATGGATGGGGCCATGTATCGCGAGATCTTGGCCAACAACCTCCTTCCCTCAGTAAGAGCATTGAAGATGGGTCGTGGCTGGGTCTTCCAGCATGACAACGACCCGAAACACACAGCCAGGGCAACTAAGGAGTGGCTCCGTAAGAAGCATCTCAAGGTCCTGGAGTGGCCTAGCCAGTCTCCAGACCTGAACCCAATAGAAAATCTTTGGAGGGAGCTGAAAGTCCGTATTGCTCAGCGACAGCCCCGAAACCTGAAGGATCTGGAGAAGGTCTGTATGGAGGAGTGGCCCAAAATCCCTGCTGCAGTGTGTGCAAACCTGGTCAAGATCTACAGGAAACGTATGATCTCTGTAATTGCAAACAAAGGTTTCTGTACCAAATATTAAGTTCTGCTTTTCTGATGTATCAAATACTTATGTCATGCAATAAAATGCAAATGAATTACTTAAAAATCATACAATGTGATTTTCTGGATTTCCGTCTCTCACAGTTGAAGTGTACCTATGATAAAAATTACAGACCTCTACATGCTTTGTAAGTAGGAAAACCTGCAAAATCGGCAGTGTATCAAATACTTGTTCTCCCCACTGTACATTGTAAACTTTAATTTGATGGCTAGGTTGTAGCAATCTGAGTATCATGTAGTAGCCTTAACCTATTGATGTTACATTGAGCTGGGTGAATGGAATATGAATGACAGTCATTCAATATGCTGTAAGAGAAATAAGGTCATGCTCATGAAAATAATCGTCCTCCCTCATCTTAAAAGGCCCGACCACCACTGCCTCATACCTCTAGCTACTGCTGCTGCCGCTGCTGCCATTGGTCCGTATGCCGACAGAGGAATGGCTGAGGATGACAGGGAGGAGGAGGTACAACAGGTTACAAATCCAGCTCAGGCTAGAAAAACAGACATGACCTCTCTAGACAAGTCAGTCAGATTTTTTTTAAAATCATTGACATCATGTCAAACTCTAACATATGGAGCTACATAGTGATGCAAGGTACATTAACAAAAACACTGATGAGTGCAAACCCACGACTCTGTAGTGTGTAATTACTGCATAATAACTGGTGTCACTGTGTAATAACTGGTTTGTAGCACAGTAAAGGGGTGTGTAGCAGACTGACAGCATGCTGCTTGTAAAGGCCAGAGGAGGGACTGACCTGTGAGCTCAGGGGGGTGGGATGATGTCAGAAGGGGGGTCCTCTCTAAATGGAATTCTAGAACAAAAACATCAGAGTGCTGTTGAAACACACCACCAGCGAGGCAAGGGACACACTCATCCATACACACACACACACACACACACACCTGCAGAGAACACACAACTAGGGTGACAACAGGGGAACACAACACTGAGCTGGAGAGATGGAGTAAGAGGAAGGAATGAAAGAAGAGAGGGAATGGGAAGTGGCAGATTGACTTAGCAGAAGAATTCATTCGCTTAACTGGTTGTACAAGCCTAATACGTTAGGATGGATTAAGAATATACTGCCCCTCACAAACACACCCACTCTCTCTCTTTCACTTACAATCACACAAAAAGCATGCAAAGCATATGTAATTCCACTCCCTGATATTTACAAGCAGCCAATGACACACACAGAGTGCTTTATGAGTTTGTGTATTGGTAAAATAGTTTGTCTGTGTTTTGTGGGAGCTATTTACAGTATGACGAGTCTAAAAACACACACCAAGTGAAAATGAATAAACCCTACGAATTACACAACCATCATCAAATGATTGGACTCCTCTACTACTCAGTGACGGTCCAGGGAACGCCATGATTGACTCAAGGCAGTATGAATGGGTGGAGTAGGTTCTTACCAGGGAATTGATAGGTATATCCAGGGGTGATACCAGTGTAACTTCGACTAGCATACGTAGCTGCCTGGAACCCTGGGTAACCTATGGTGAAAGGACAGTCATGGGTCTGTGTTTGAGTGAAACAGTGCTGCCCCCTGCCTGTGAAAGAGGATACTGTCAATGTAACAACAGGTTCATAGAAACAATACAGTCAATTACATTCTCTAGATCAGCCAATAGGATATTTTGTGTATGTATGCTCGGCCCACAGTTGAACTAACTTAACAACTGTACCCTTGCCTATAATTACCCTTGTCCTGCCAATGTCATTGTGAATATTGCAGTTCTCAGACTGAACAGTAGATGTCATATAACCCCAAATGACAAAATGACATGTTGGTTTCCTTACCCTGTAAGCAGTCTTTGGATAAGGTATGACAGCAATCCATGTATTGGTGAAAAATGCTAATATCGGTACCATAACCTCAATGGGATTTGTGCCACAAATGCTAAAACGTTAGCATTTGGAAACAGTGCCAGGGAAACTAAGCCAAAGCATGGATTTCTGTCATACCTTGTCCATAGACTGCTTACACGGTAATGAAACAATGTGTCATTTGGTGAACTATCCCTTTAACCACTAAATCCTATTATAGGTCTCATAAATATCAATATTACACACATACAAGCACTACTTTACCCTAAGACCATAGATTGCATAAATTCCAGGGTACCGCTTAAACTAATTTGGTACTACATGTTTTAATAGACTTTTCAGTTGGCAGGCTCAAGCATGGAATTATCTTATTAAAGGGAGATGATGTTATAAAGAGTATGACATCTGTCCCCTGGCGGTTGTACTTTCTGTGGTAAATGATCTCCACCTGATGTAAAATATGATATTACGAGAAGATTCTTTACAGTGTTCCACAGTCATTTGACGATATGGGGTAACAAGATATAAGGGGCCACATCATCATCGTTGACATTACTATGAGCTTACCCAGCATGCCGATGCCCAGCATGAAAGCGTCCATGCCATAGGGCATCACCCGAGAGCGCCCCCTGGCCGAGCCCATGGGTGACATCACTTCCTTGGGTTGAGCCTTCTTACACTCCACCTGTCAGAAACACACGAGGGGGACAAACAGTCAACAACTACACCTCTCACAATAACATTGTGTATAAATTACCAAGGATTGATTTACGGCCTTCTTAGCTCACCATTTTGTTGTTTATCTCATGGAAGTGGATCTCACACACTTTGTCCACCACGTCCTCATTCTCAAACGTGACAAAGCCAAATCCTGGAGTAGACAAAATACAAATAATGTATGTGAGGAAGGTCAACTCATGAAGTATTGTGCACGACACAATGGATTAAAGCCCTTGTTCCCATTATTGAACATCTCAGACCCAAGTTTGGGTAAATCCCTTCTACTGTCTCCAGGGGGTTAGAGTGTGGGGCTAATGCACTACTGCTAACCACCTCCTGTATTAGGTCCTGTAATAACTGCTTAGAATGTTGGCACCCTCCCCCCTCTGGGGCGCTGTTCCTGGCTCATCCCCTCCTCCCTCCCATCCCTCCTGGCTAGGCCAACGAACCTCCCCTCCTCCCTCAGCCCAGTAAAGCTGGTGGGCTGTCATAATCGATCAGTCCCAGGGTGGGGAGGAGGAGCTTAAGGAGGCTTTATCCTGATCCCGATTAACGGACTAATTAGCCTAGCCTCGTTCCTCTCCTCCTGCTCAGTTCTTCCTGCTCAGCCTACGGGGGGGGGGGGGGGGGGGGGGGGTATCCTACTAGCACTGACTTTGCTGATAGTTGCTTTCTTGAGAAAAGTTTTACTTACTCCGATTGTGATATGTGGTTGTCTTACCTAGCTACCTTATGGTGAATGCAGTAACTATAAAAGCGTCTGCTAAATGACTAAAATGTAAATGTATTTTTTGTTGAGGATACAGAGATGGAGTTTCACCTCTGTGTCTGTTGGTGGTCTTGTCAAACATGAGCATGGCATCATCAACCTAGAGGAGACAAACACAGAGTTGTATACATATCACCTCAAGAAACGCATGCTCGCACCATATTGTCTGACCTCATCCCTTCTCAAGTTCTGCAGGGAGGCTCAGCAACAGATGGACAGAAGCGGCAGAATGGGGGGGGGGGGGGGGGTTACAAAGGAGGAGAGGGAAGGAGGGAGGGGAGCACAGAAGAGGATAAGAAGAAAAAAACTGAAAAAACCTTAAGAGGGGACATTTGTAATGAATGGACACAAGATGATCGCTAGAAAAGGTTTTGATTCACGACAAAATCAGAAACCCTTCACTGTTTCTCTTTGTTAGATTTCCTGCCTCTGAACTGCATTGTCGCAGTCTCTCCGAAAAATCCACCCTCGTTCCCCCTACTTTCGAAAGTTTGCCCTTCCCATGGCAATTGTGCAAGAAGTTCTCTTAAAGAGCTTTATCGGGCAACAAGCACTATTTGTGAAGAGAGAGAGAGAATGTGTGAAAGTGTGTGAGAGAGAGACAGAGTGAGAGAGATAGAGAAACAGAGAGAGTGGTAGGGGGTACAATAAGGTAAAAATGTGGGCAAGTATAGTGTTTGATGACAGGAAGAGGGACTGGGGCGAGAATACGGGTACAGACCATGGTGAGGTAGAGATGAGTGTGTGTGTGAGAGCGAGAGAGAGAGAGAGAGAGAGAGAGAGAGAGAGGAGAGAGAGAGAGAGGAGAGAGAGAGACGAGAGAGAGAGAGAGAGAGAGGAGAAGAGGAGAGAGAGAGAGAGAGAGAGGAGAGAGAGAGAGAAGAGAAGAGAGAGAGAGAGAGAAGAGGAGAGAGAGGAAGAGTAATTGTGTACGTATTTTGTGAATAGAGGTGGAACTAGAAAGTATGGGACAAAATGGGGAGGGAAGAGAACAGAGAGAGACAAAGAATGGGAGCAAGAGAACAAAGAGGTGTGGAGGCTTTGTCTGTTGGCACAGCCAGCCATAATTCCTCCTCTCCTTGTGCCCTTTCTCTCTCCCTCTCTGTCCCCCTTCACAGTGCAAAGACCCAGGTATCTCCTTCAACTGAACACGGACCAATACAAAATCTAATAAAAAAGCATGAAATATCACACACCTATTATAATTCAAATAAACTCCTATATTCAAATAAACTCCTAAATGAATCTGTGTTTTCCATATCTGATGAGTTTGAGTTTGTAATAAAGCCATTGACAGGTGCACATGGTTCCACCTAACTTTTTGTCACAACCATTCACACGCCTATATGGTTCCACCCAGAACTGGTACCTTGTGTTAGTGTCAGTGAGTGTGTGTGTGTCAGAGTGTGTGTGTGTGTTCGTGCTTGGGGACATCATTGGGCAGCTTGCACGCAGAAAGGTCAAGGGTGAGGGAGGAGCGCCTCCAGCCAGTGTGAAATAAGACCTGTTGGTCTTAGCCCTCTCAAATCACTGACTCCTTCCACTCTGACATTTCCCTATCACCCGTCCTGTCTCCCTAACCAGGACTGCCTCTTTCTAGGCCAAGCCCCATGACACAGCAATGGAACACCACAGACAACGTCACTCCACGGTTTACACCACTAAACTGTACTGAAATAGAAGCTGAATTATATGCTGAAATCTACAACTTGCAAGAAGGCAGAACTGACACTTAAGATATGTTATTCACATGTGCCATAGAATAATCAACAGAGATTCACCACAAGCACCCAGTGCAATTAAAAGTTAAAACGTCAATAATGTCCTCATTTAACTAAATGTTTCTAAGTCAATAACTGTCCTTTAAAGCTAGATATTTCAAATACGGGACATTTTAATGGCGCACTGGACAACATTTCCCTCTTCCACCGCTCATCCTCCCTGTCATTCTCTACCCATCTCTTTCTCCACCCCCTTGTCCAGAGCAGGACAGAATACAAAAGGTCCAGTGAGGCAGTCTAATCCGGAACTTCCATGGATGGCTGGAGCCTACATTTCTCAATCCATCCATCTCTCTATCTCTCTCATTCCATTCATGCTGTTTTATGATTGGGAGTGAAGCACTTCATGTGTCACATATAGTATAGTATGTGATAGATACAGGAAGTACCATTTCAACTATCAAGACTTTGAATGTAATATTATATAATCAAACTCTGCCCTGACTGACTAGACTAGACTGACTAATGGCTGACTAAACTACATAAATGAGCTTTGCCTCAGCCTATTACTGGTGTTGAAAGCTAATCTAGTTAGCATCCAGGCTCATTGGTTTATCTGATTTCCTATTGAATTGCACCTTACCTACGTCCGTAGGTTACCTGCGGCCACTATTTCAAGTTTTGCCTGTTTAAAATAGGTACAGTGTCAACAAAAAGTAAGAACATTTTGAAGATTCAACAGAGGAGTAAAAGTGCACCACAGCGCACCTCCTTGTAAATACTGAACTCCTGTACAAACTAACAACATATTTGCCTAGCTTTGTTCAAATACATAATAGTCCCACTAAATCCCTGCATCCCATCTCTCTGGCCTAGTTCCCCCCCCCTCTCTTTTTCTCACTCACCCTTCATTTATTCTCTCCAGTCTGCACTTCAAAGCCCTTGGAATCTATGGTGGGAAGAGTAAAAACTGAGTACACTATGGATATTAAAATAAATATCTATGAACTGAAGACAGACTGGAAGTGAAAAGTATGTTGGTTTGGGTCTGTTTTGACCATTGGTCGATGAGTGTTATTGTTACACAACTCCTGGGTTGACACACCCCCCACCCTCAACACAACACCCCTTGCCCGCTGAATTACTTGGGGACAATGGGCAAGCCGGGTCACCACGGTAACGGGCCAGGAGGGGGTTGGGGTAGAAGCAGCTGTTACATCAGATTAATTCAGATTCTGATAATCCCTCCCCACCATTGCAATACTCACTCCCTCTCCAAAACTTTTTCCTCCCTATTTTCCCTAACTTAGCCTAGTGCTTCATACCTCCCTAAGCCTCTCCACTCTGGTTCTACTCTCTCTATCACTCTTCTCCTCCACCCCTCCCACAAGTAACTCTCCTTCCTTCCAAAGCAACTCTTCTATTCCACTTAATTTTTACCTTTACCTCAGCAATCAGTTTTATCTAAACAACAAAGATGTGTTGAGGAAAACACTGCCATGGAGGAGGATGCAACATCACACTCATCTCATATCCACTCACTCCTCCCCTCAACAACAAAGTCTGAGAAACAGATCCACCAGGTTCAGTGTCCAGTCTGGAGCTCTGCTGGTCGGCTACTGCGTAGAAACTAGCGGTGCCAAAAGCCTTGGTCTGCCCTAGAAAGCATATGTAAATTACGATCGGCAGAACGGGCAAAATGTAGACGACCGTTTTGTTCGATCCCCAAGGTGAATTATTTTAAAGTTCGCTACAAATCGAGATATTTAATTAAATAGTGATCTATTCTGAGTACTACATTTGATGAAAATTACTACATCGACCATGATCCTTTGCTAGTTACGGCCACTTTCACCATGATATTTAGCGATTTTTTTGGTGCCTTTCAGCAATATGGCACCCTTCAAATTCAAATACTTCCGGCTTCATGCGCCATCGGGAGTTTCCCATAGGAATACGTGGATGACGTCAGCGCTATTACTATCTACTGGTTTTAATGGCTATGAGATCCACACACGTTTACTAGGGCAGGGGCTCCCAAACTTTTGAGGAACATCCCGCACCCGCCCCCCTGCGCACCCGCCACGTCTATTTCTATGGGCACTGTTCATAACACAAACTGTTCACACCCCTCTTGTTGGCAGAGAGGACATTTTGCAGGTTTAAAGCTTATATCCTGCAATTCTACACATTTTGTGATGGGGTGCAGAGAAAATTGTGCAGTTTTAAAGCAAATTTTCTTGCAATTCTATACATTTTGCAATGTCTAATGTGGATTCATGTGACATTTGAGTGACTCAAACATTACAACAAAATCTTAGAGAGCTATTTATAACTTGTCAGAAATGTCCAGATCAACTAGCCCATGTCAGCTAAAGTTTTTTAGCTACGTTTTTTAGCCCAAAGATTTTGTTGTAATGTTTGAGTCACTCAAATATCAAAGGTATGCAATGACTGACATGAAAAGAGGAAAACTGATGATGTAATACCCAATTTCGAAATTGCACCTTGTGCATTCTACTATTACAACTTTCAAAAGTACGTTGAAAGCTGGACCCCCGCACCCCGCCCTGCCGACTCTAGGGGGGCATGCCCCACAGTTTGGGAACCACTGTACTAGGGCTGGGAATTGCCAGGGACATCAAGCTACAAAATTATCACAATACTTAGGTGCAGATACAACATGTTTTGCGATTCTACAGTGCATTCAGAAAGTATTCAGAACCCTTCACTTTTTCCACATTTTGTTACGTTACAGCCTTATTCTAAAATCAATTAAATTATTTTTTTCCCTCATCAATTTAAACACAATACCCCATAATGACAAAAAGGAAAAAAACTGGTTCTGAATTTTTTTGCAAATGTATTAAAAATTAAAAACATAAATACCTTATTTACATAAGTATTCAGACCCTTTGCTAAGAGACTGGAAATTGAGCTCAGGTGCATCCTGTTTCCATTGATCATCCTTGAGATGTTTCTACAACTTCATTGGAGTCCACCTGTGGTACATTCAATTGATTGGACATGATTTGGAAAGGCACACACCTGTCTATATAAGGTCCCACAGTTGACAGTGCAAGTCAGAGCAAAAACCAAGCCATGATGTTGAAGGAATTGTCCGTAGAGCTCCGAGACAGGATTGTGTCGAGGCACAGATCTGGGGAAGGGTACCAAAAAATGTCTGCAGCATTGAAGGTCGCCAAGAACACAGTGGCCTCCATCATTCTTAAATGGAAGAAGTTTGGAACCACCAGGACTCTTCCTAGAGCTGTCCGGCCAAACTGAGCAATCGGGGGAGAAAGGGCCTTGGTCAGGAAAGTGACCAAGAACCCGATGGTCACTCTAACAGAGCTCCAGAGTTCCTCTGTGGCGATGGGAGAACCTTCCAGAAGGACAACCATTTCTGCAGCACTCCACCAATCAGGCCTTTACGGTAGAGTGGTCAGACGGAAGCCACTCCTCAGTAAAAGGCACATGAAAGCCCGCTTGGAGTTTGCCAAAAGGCACCTAAAGGACTCTCAGACCATGAGAAACAAGATTCTCTGGTCTGATGAAACCAAGATTGAACTCTTTGGCCTGAATACCAAGTGTCTCGTCTGGAGGAAACCAGGCACTGCTCATCACGTGGCCAATACCATACCTATGGTGAAGCATGGTGGTGGCAGCATCATGTTGTGGGGATGTTTTTCAGTGGCAGGGACTGGAAGACTAGTCAGGAACGAGATAAAGATGAACGGAGCAAAGTACAGAGAGATCCTTGATGAAAACCTGCTCCAGAGCGCTCAGGACCTCAGACTGGGGCGAAGGTTCCCCTTCCAACAGGACAACTATCCTAAGCACACAGCCAAGACAATGCAGGAGTGGCTTCGGGACAAGTCTCTGAATGTCCTTGAGTGGCCCAGCCAGAGCCCAGACTTGAACCTGATCGAACATCTCTGGAGAGACCTGAAAATAGCTGTGCTGTGACGCTCCCCATCCAACCTGACAGAGCTTGAGAGGATCAGCAGAGACTAATGGGAGAAACTCCCCAAATACAGGTGTGCCAAGCTTGTAGCGTCATACCCAAGAAGACTATGAGGCTGTAATCGCTGTAAATGTGCTTCAACAAAGTACTGAGTAAAGGGTCTAAATACTTATGTAAATGTGATATTTCATTTGTATTAATTTTTTATTCAGAAATGTCTAAAAACCTGTTTTTGCTTTGTCATTATGGGGTATTGTGTGTAGATTGATGAGGGGGAAAAAACTATGTAATCCATTTTAGAATAAGGCTGTAACATAACAAAATGTGGAAAAAGTCAAGGGTTCTGAATACTTTCCAAATGCACTGTATATGTATCACGACTTATAACGATAAAAAAATAAATGTTGGCACACCATTTTAAAAAAAGATTGTGGCCAAGCTATAGGAGGAGAAATACCGAAGTTTTGGTGCCGGTACAACCGACTAGCGCTAGCTAACGTTAACTACCTAGCTAGCAAAATAAACAAATAAAGATCTTCACATTTCAATATCAACACTAGCCCACATGCTGCTTACCTTTCCGAACTGGTCGAAATATGCCTTGACATCCTCGATGGTCGTGTTCACGGACAGACCTCCAACAAAGATCTTCTTGGTCCGAGTCACTAGCTGCAAGGGGAAATGGGTCAGTTTATTAATGGATGGAGAATGAATTAATGAATGAGTAACTGTGATAACACCATGGATTAAGATGAACCATTAACGGTGACTGTAGTTGGGTAGCCTGGTATTGTCCATCATATGCTTGTGTTATCATCTCTCATGTGTTTCGTCTAAATTATAAATTAATTCAGGTGCCAATGGAAAAACCACCAGCAGGCATGTTTCCAATTTCCCCTAAAGCTCCTAAAAGACCACTTTGCATGACAAATAAAGGAGTCAGATGAAATAGCTCTGCCCATGTATAACCACAAAATGGTCAGACTTTATGTTGATCTTTATGCCATCACGACCAACAGTACAGTACATTATTAACATACTATTGCACTGCTTATGTAGAAAACTGCTTCTGCTACCACAATCAGCATTAATGCAGGTGAACTTTACGTATACACTTTAGGCTCTTGAGAATATACAATGTACATTATTGTGCTGTATAAGGTGTTAACAAAAGCCACTTGATCACATAAGAGTGTATGGAGCACAGTGATGTCACAGCAGCAGTCATGTTCATCTCATTACAAGGCATTAGCCCAGATAGAATGTGAAAAGCTAAACACAGCAAGCACAGGCTAACCTGCTCCCTCCTAGCAATGTCATTCACACTGGACTCACAGGACTAAGCCCTGACAAATAATGACTAGACTGGCTCACTCACCTTGGGCTGGGCTCTACGAGGGAACGCAACTTTCGGATCAATCTAGAGGAGGGAGTTAAGAGGAGAAAGGCCTGTTTATACACACAGCTCAATACAGATAAACTAGCCCAAGCAATCAGGTAAATCTGTGTGAACCAAGTCCATGGTTATCGTCTCTTTGGTGCTGCTCCTTGCCTCATCCTGTAAGGGTTCCTTAGCATGGTTGTTTGGGTTATAATGCTGCACCAGTACATAGGTCATTATGAGAGCTAGAGCAATAAGCCAAGTAGAGGATAGATAGAGGGATAATTGTTTCCACAAGGTGGGGCATAGAAGGTGAAAAAAATGTTGAGTATAAAATGTGGTTTCTCTTTGAAGAAATGTTCTCTTTTCTGCATTGTTGGAAAAGGACCTGTAAGTAACCATTTCAACGTTAGTCTACTCCTGTTGTTTACGAAGCATGTGACAAATAAATGTTTCGATTTGAAAGAATCTGCTGGTAGATTTGGAACTAAGTAACTCCCAATTTTAACTTCATTCTAACAATAACCCCATTGGCCTACACTGTGCACTAGCCAGAGTTGGTATCAGATGTAATGAACACTGCTCCAACCTCAGAAGTGCTGGTTTATTGGTGTGCTTGTGCCGGTGGAATGTGTGGGAATGTTGGAGTGACAGAGGCACAGAGGTGCCTCTCCTCTCCGGCCTGTCTGCCTTCCACAGCCCTCTCCTCCTCTCATCACCAACATGTGACATGTGATCTCCTGGAATCTTACACAGGCACTACAATCACAAACACATCTCACCTCCACAAAAAAGGACAGAGAAAGAGACATAGTGAGCTTAAGAAAGGGAGCGACAGCACAGAACAAGAGGAAGACGAGGAGGGAGAATGGATGGACGCAGACAGAGGAGAGAGCCATCAACCACACACACTGACAGCACATCAGACTCATTTTGTTTGTTTGTGTTTGTTTGTTTTTGCCTCCCTCTCCCGCTAAGACTTTATGATGATCTCGTGCGCTATTTAAAAACCAACATTTCATAGTGTTTTCATCACACAGTTCTTCCACTGTGTTGACCTCTGCTCTAAAAGCATCCGTAAACGTGAGAGCTAAGCTATCACTTACAGTGCAGAGGCTGAAATATTGGACATTTTATGATGATAATAATACTAAATGAATATAATAACAATGCAACTACATCAACTGTCAGGTCAATTGTAGATTCACCATGAAATGTATCACACAAAAGCCAAACCCATTGAATTCATACATTTACAATATAGTCATTTGCTCAGATTGAATAAAGAATAACTACACCATGACAAAAATATGCAACTATAGAGACTATAGTACAGCAATTGGAGACCTCTAGCTATAGTATTAGTCTATACTGATCTAACAGAACTAAAGAACGACTAAACTACTCCACGCTGTACTGTTGTTATGCTACGAGACAGTAAGACAGTACAGTGCTAAGAGCACTATATTAGTCCGTAACCATGACAGGGGTAGAGCAGAACTACAGTAGAAAGCTAGAGCCTCTATAGTAAACCACATGCGTTTACCAGAGTAAAGTACAGTGTTTAGTCTACATGTATAGTGTCGACATCACGGCAGGTTCTATAGAGCAGAGTGAGAAGGCTAGGCTAGACGGAGTATCGGATGCAGAGTCTACTGTTTAGTTCTATGGTCTCTAGACTGGATGGTGTATCGGATGCAGTCTACTGTTTAGTTCTATGGTCTCTAGACTGGACGGAGTATCGGATGCAGAGTCTACTGTTTAGTTCTATGGTCTCTAGACTGGATGGTGTATCGGATGCAGAGTCTACTGTTTAGTTCTATGGTCTCTAGACTACTCTGATAGTCACCTCCGGTCACCAACCCTCCTGATGTCCAACACTCCTGTGCACATTCAAAAACAAACAAACAGACACACACAAACAGACAAAATCAACATAGAGCAACCAGCACACATCCATGGGGGGAAATACGGACATTAGACAGGTGAGGTAACTTTTTAATAAAAGGATTTTAGAAAACAATATGAATGACCCGAATAGAGAATTGATATGAAAAAAAGTTAAATGCCCCCCTTTTCTATATTTATGACAAAGTAACAGACATAATCATGTAAATTGAACAACACCCTGCTTAAAAAAATCTAATGATGACATATTTATTAGATGGTAACAGTTCCAGTATGAGAGGACCATGCTAAACGTGGCAGAGGTGTTGGTGTTGGAGAGACAGGCCAGGCCGTAACCCAGGCTCACCCCCACTGTCCACAGAGCTAAGCCTAACAACAAGGCAAGGGGGTTTATCAAATCAGAACAATCCCATTGATCAATTACTGTCCAACCATAGGCAACAGTTAGTGAGGTGCACGACCCGGTCTTAGTTAGCAACACACATCAACTCAGGGGTCAAACACACTGTCAAGTAAAATATCTGTGACTCAGAAGAACAACCCAAGCTTTTTTCCTTCAATCCTATTAGCTGCTTTGTAGATCCATACTAATCACAGATGGGGTGATCCCTCCCTTCCTCCTCCTCCTCTTCCTCCTGGGTCAGCATGTTAGTCTCTTCACGTTAAGGTGAACTGAAACATCGTATTCTATAATCAATAGAATTATTGATTTTAGGATGTCTCAAACTGTTTTGATTTGACCTGGACAATTTTTAGGACAGGTTAATATTTTCATTTTCTTAGGACTGAGCACTTGCCTTGTGGGTGCATAGCAGGTGTGGGACTGCACCAATGACATCCATATTCAGTACTGAGTCCGACTGACACAGTTCTCCATGTTTAGACAGAATATGTTCTACAAGCTACAGGGGTCTTTAACACTCTGTAACTTGAGATTGAACTACTGTTGTTATCATCAATATACTGTATATTTGCCTATTGGAGTATCCTTGTGCTAAAGCTATGCTGGAGAAATGTAGGATGACATAATATCTTATAAAACTCATTTTCCCTCAAACACTATTCTAAACCTTTAAGGCAGAGTGCAACGTCACTCAGATTGGGCCCTCTCTATCAAAACCCCATAGCAGCCAACCAGCCCATCCACCTCCGTCAACTTGTGTCAACTAGGACCCAATAACATTTTGTTGTAGACACCATGGGGAGCTACTATAATCTTACAACAACTTAATACAATAATTCTGCATAGATGGGTAGATAGGCTACTCAAGTCACTAGCAGACAGTGTGATAGCAGCTACAAATAAAAGTCCATTAATTCCTCTCCAACTCTGAGAATAGTTGCCCTCTACTCTCCCGTAAACCTCTCTCCATTCTTGTCCTGGAGCAGTTCAGTTTGTCAGAGCATGGCACATTCTTTCTGTTGCCACTGGAGAACTCTCTAACAGGATAACCTGCCTGTGGCTGTGAGAGAGGAGAGGAGAGGGGGCAGGGTATTCTCTCTAAACTAAAGCCTACTCTACTCACCATCCCACCCCTGCCGCTGGTCACTGAGCCTTCTCCTTGCCAGACACACACACTCTAAAGATGCCACAGAGCACCATCCATGCTGAGCACAGTCCCACCCTGTTACCAACCACACTCAGCCATGCTCCCTCCAGCTGACATCACATTTATCTAACCTATTACTGCGCTAGGGTTGTGCTATAAGCTTAAACTGTTGGCTAGTTTGGTATCGCAGGAATGATCATTTTCAAATATGTTGATTTTGTGTCCATTTTCTTTCAGGGAGGTGTCATGGAGACAAAAAAGCCATGGGAACAAACCATTAAAGCCCCCATTCTAAGTGAACTATCATCACGCCAAATCAGACAGCTGCAGTAACTTTTGATTTGGTCTGACTTTTTTAAATCTACTTTGAAACTGTACCGTTCCCATCCCATAAAGCGCTCCACCCTAACTTTGACCCCTTTTATTCCTTCCTTCCTTCCCTGAGTGGTGTCCTCTTAAGTGTCTACAAATCTTCCTTGTGTGTATCTGTAGATATATTGAGATGGTGTCCCGCTCCAAACACAAATTGGAAGAAAGAGCCTCAACACATTTCAATACCCTGATCTACCCCCAGCCATCACTGATCTACCCCCAGCCATCACTGATCTACTCACAGCCGTCACCACTCCCACCCAGTAAGGGGGAACTCAGCCGTCCCTATGGCGACCAACGGGCAGCATTGTTCCCAGACCAACCCACATTCATTACTGACAAAGACACACACACACAACAGAGTTTTACAAACACAAGTTACACGCATTCCCTCACGCACATGTACACATAGAAACAGGTTATGTCTGAAACATAATGCCCTTCCATATGGTAGTGGTTATTCTGACACTCCCTATGGAATAGCACCTATATGACAATGTTGGGAATATCACTATCTTGCCCCAACTACATCACATCTGTAGATTACTGGTTTCAGGGTGCAGAGGCACAAGTTCATTCATAGATTTGTTCACATAAGACAGTTATTGAGGTAATTTTCACAGTAGGGACAAATTACTTGCGAACTGAAACACAAAACAGCATGCAGAAAGTTTGATGATGAGTTTGCTATGAAGCAAAGTGTGCTATTGAGCACAACCCTGTCTGGGACCCCCAGTTACCATGGAAATTGACACTGAGTAACACTTTCTTGACCATTTCACTGTGGGAGGGTGAGGGAAAGAGACAGCACATTCTGTAGCCCAGTCTATTCCTGAGCTTTCCTCCATGGTTCAACATGTAGATTTTAGATCCCATTACACTTCATGTGTGAAGAACACTTGGGAATAGCATTCAAAAGTAGTTTACTAGTAGCCTAGTTTATTAGTCTTGTTTAAATTAAAGTGAGTTATGGCAACTTCTTTAATAATGCCATGTAAAGGCAATAATGTAGGCCTAGCTATATTTACTTCATTTTTTATTTCTATTCGACTTATTTCCCAGAGATAATGTAAGAACTTGAAAAAAGTAGAAACAAGTAGTGTATGTCTAAAATACTATTCAAATGGGTAAAACTGCTACAGCCATATGCAATAATGTTTTAGTTAGTTCTTGAGAGTGGAAACATGTATTGTAGTATTGGGTAAAATGGAACGGATAAGACTAGAAGAGTATGCTAGTCTACATTAATACTTTTCGTGATTTAATAACTCACTGTTTTTGAATCCAACTCATGCCTGGTTACTGCTGAAACTGAATCCACACCGGCCTGGTCAACAAAAGTGACAAATCCAAAACCCCTTCAAAAAAATATCAAAATATACAATCATCAAACACAAATTATCGACACACATAATAATCTGAATATGAATGAACTAGGCCTATGTCATGACTAGCAGTTGAACTGTTGTGTTGTGACCAAGCGGGCTTTTCTGAAAGGGCGCTGCACCGCGGACGCCTCCCTCACCTCGAGCGCTTGGTAACTGGATCCCGCATCACCATGCACTCTTTCACCTCGCCATACTTGCAAAAGTACTCTTTCAATCCCTCTGAAATAATAATAGAAAACAAATTGTGAGATAAAAAAAAATGGTTGTATGTCTGTAGCATAAGCCTACAGCAGGTGGCGTGTGACATATAGCCTACTATGGCAAAATTGTAGCCACCATTGTTAAACTTTCTGATGGTCGCAGTCTGTGATTGTGTTCAGACATCAACAATGCTACTGTCCAGTGTCCAGAAATTAGAACATAAAATAAGGGATGTTTAAAGTTGACAATGACAGCCTATTCAGAACAGACTCCCTTAAAGTTACATCAACCAACATAGTGCATAAAGAGAGTCAATTATGATCCAATGACAGAACACTCATCCCTCAAGGGATGCTAGAAAATCTATCTTTCTATGTTATAAGTGCGCAATTATTGTCTTGAACAATAATAGCCTGTTGCCAAGGTTTATTGATCAGAACTGTGTAAACTCCTTTTCCAAAATGCCACACATTTTTCACGGATTTATAGCCTAAGGCCAGTTGTAGTTGTTTCGAATGACTTTAGGATTGGTTTATTTTCAACTTGGCATTCTTTATTATATCCCCGTGTAGGCTACTGATCTGTGTTGAATGAGGCTTTGATTTCAGCATTAGACAACATATTTAATTTATATAGACGGCAATCGAGAGTAGTAGACTACAAGTAGCACAACTCATTGATCACTTTCAGAAATCTTGAATCAAAACAATGACTTTTACAGATTCTTATTTCCAACTCTCACTTTGTCTTTAAAGCAGCTTCATAACTGAGAATTATATAAGAGAATAAACGGTTTAAAGTTCGATCAAGTTTTGAGGCGAGAATAAGCTTACCTTGTGTCGTCTGCCAGCTGAGACCGCCTATGAACATTTTGCTAAAAAAAGAAAGAAAAGAAAACATGAAAGTGTAACTGTAACATGTAAGCTTTGATGTTAGGTAATGATGACAGTTAAATTATTTAGAAATGTCGACCCGTTATATAAGTTATTATAAGTTATAACACCGTTATTAAAACCAAAATATAAATTTTCTGTCCACAAAAATGAGCGGTCTCGCTTTGAAGATGAGCAGTGCCACCAACAACACAAAAAGTGCGAGCATGCTCTCCTTCATCTCAATACTCCAATATGCAGTTTCTTTCAACTCCTGGGTTTGTCTTGAAGGTGTATCCGATCTCAGGACTAGGTAGAGCCGACGGGGGAAGGTAAGTTTACCAGGGATCGTGAGGGGAGTCCGTGGAGGACAGGCTGCTCTGGCTTCTTTCCATCTCCATTCCTTGCCCGTGTGTTCAGACTGTACCGTATGGAAAAACAGGCAGAATGGAGTGATGGGGCGGGGGTTTGGCCAAGGGTTTTAAGGGGGGAACGGGCTGTTGCAGAGAGAAGGGAGGAGTATATCGGGCTCAAGGAGAGCTGGTAGACTCCTCCTCTCCCTGTGCTGCTGGTTCCCCTCATCCGTCTTAGCAGTGCACCACTCTATCCCATAAATTATTTCGAAATTACGCACATTTTACGCACGCTTATAAATACAACAACTTCTTACAATTTGTAAAATATACAAATAGAGATATCAATAAATGTATTATATTTTGGATAAATGATAATACTGTATGAAATAATTGGAATTATCATTTTTGTTGTGATGTGGGCTCCAAATATCATACCTGTTTAAGGTGATAAGCTTGGCCATATTAATATATCAAAATAGAAATAGACGTGTAAGGTGTGCTACTATGGCTTCTGCCAAGAGGTTTGGGCCTTTATGCCACAGGAGGGATGGAGCTTGCCCAGTTACTGCATGACCACTGGACTATGATGGCTGTTTCCCCTCAATCTCTACAATGGTGGAAGTGATGGGATATTTCAAGAGTTTCTTATGCCTTTTTGTAAGTTGGCTTCGATCTGTAAGCATTGGGTTTATTAAACTTGTGTGCCCACTCCTTGATAGATTAAAATGTACTGGCCTCTTCCAAGATAATTGTCTCTAGGGCACAGGAGATAGTGCACTCTCCCTATAACCTCAGGGTTGCTGGTTCAAACCCCACTGTGGGTGCTCCCCCTCCATAGGTTTAACGGAGATTCTATATCAACAGGTGTTTTGAAAAGAGAGCCCTTTTTTTATTAGTTTGACAAATGGTTTGCAATGAAACAATCCTAAATTGAACGTGCCAGCATCTCTACATTCAGTTGGATAACAGGATTGAATGAACTACAGCCATAGGCCCACAGGCCTAATACATGTGCTTGAGTTCACCCAACTCATTCAGGTGACATAAGCTGCTGCAAAACTTTACAAGACATAGTAGACAAAACTAATTACTAGGTTTGGTGAACATTAACACCAAATGACGCTCACACTAATCCATATTTATTCCAACCCTGTACAGCCTACAAGCTTACAATTCTATTTTGTTTCACAGTAGGTCATGTATAGTAGTTGTTTGTTACCTTTCTGACCACTGCATTACTAAATATAGAACAATGCCTTTATAAATCTGCTCTCCACTTTTAATCAATCTCACAAAACATACCACTGTACAACTACAGTACAGGCTATCATGAAAATGGGCCCTTTTTGTCAAAATAAATTAATAATGGATTGAGAAAATGAAACTTTTGGGCCTAGTTGATGTTCTTTGTTCTTAGAAAGACAGACCATCATATCAGTGTCCACATCATCTTAAACTCTGTGTCAGTGTCTCCAGGCCTTGGTTCACCTACTCCTAACACTAGCATCAGTAAGACAGTCCCTCACTCTGGCACGATCCACCCACCACCCACCACCCACCCCCCCCCCATAACCCCCTGACGAGGGTTGTGTTTTGTATAGGAAGTGGTTTTGGGCAGTGTGCTTGCTCATTCACTGCTGGGTTTTAAGTATTTAATTAGTGCCAAAGCCAGCTCCACCTAATCTCCTCTCCAACACCGACTCAACATGTGACTCGTTAACCGTTTGGAGGCCGATCACAATGTCGCTTCTCAGAACAGCCATTCTAATAATTCAAGCAATGGCAATACATTAGCACCAATGCCTAGGGTGATAAAGGTAAACAATGTTGTTGATTCACATGCCTCTGAAAGACTGTTGAGGGAACTCTGGGAAGTCTAATCTGCATTAAAACTTCAAATGGACTAACCATAACTACTGTATTATCATACAAGCTTCTGGTTCTTCAACTCCCCTTTACACACGCAGCTTGTTCCATTAGGGGGTTCACTCATGACAAGCTGTTAAACTAATTCCAGATGACAATAAGAACAAGAATATTGCTCAATATGTGAAACGCCAAACTTGCTTACATTCCTATTGCCATGACTATTGACTGGTTCGGAAACTGTTTATTTGTTTGTGCTCTGGATGATAAACTCTGTTTGTGTGTGAAGTGTCCATGAGGTTTATACTGGGTGAGTTGTTGGACGTTGTTGGAGACACCCAGCGTAGGCTACACAGCCTCTGTCCTCAGCAGAGGAATCTCCAAAAGTGGGACAGGGACTATTCGGACAGGAACTAAGGCGTGTGTTAAATTTCTGCATGCATGATCAATGGGGTTGAATAGCGTGGGGGGTAGAGGGGGGTGGTGGGGCGGCATGGACACAATGCTGAGAGAGGAGGGGGCAGAAATAGGGAGAGAGGTTGGCTGACTAATGAGACTATGAGGAGGACAACAGGAAAACAGTAGCTCTGTTCCCTTTTCAAGTAAACAAAGTGTAAACTGGTTCTGTGGTTCTTTATTTCTAGAAACAGAAAATACAGTAGGTTACATATTAACACAACATGCAAACACACTTTTTTAAATATAATAATACAATTACATAACTGCATATTTACTTTCTCACACCAAATGCCTGCTAGAATGTGTGATATAATGCACTGTATGGGATTAAAATGCAGTACAGGCCACACTACCCTGCCCCTTTTCCCTCACTAGGCTGTCCTCTGAACAGTGCAAACTAAGGCACAATGGGACTTAATTACTGGGCAGTAGTGTGTCTCAGAGAGATAGAGGGAGCCCTGTTTCTCTGAGTTTCCCCCCTTTCAAATACTGTACAATGCCATCTTCCCTGGGGTAGGGTGGGATGAGGAGAGAGCTCCACACAAGAAGGCAGGTTATAGGCTGAACTGGTGGAAGGCACAAGGTAAGAGAGAAAGAGGGAGAGAGAAGGGGAGAGAGAGAGTTATTGGAGTTGAATCCACACTGTGAAAGCAATACTACCAATACAGTATAACTACAATGCCACATGCAGGGGTTCTTAAGTATTACTGATTCAGAAGTAAGCATAAAGTTAGACAAAATCATGGCAGATAATACAGCAGACGTCTGGCATCTAAAAGCTACCTCTATCAGACCTCATCTGTCTAGGATGACACAATAGTGCCCTCTAGTGCAGGACAACACCTACTTTAATTTTCTCTGTCCAATTCATTCCAAACATGTCTCAAAAGACACCTATCATGTGTTCATGATAAGCGTTAAGCTTCAACATCCATTCCATTGGGCCTTTACATGACAATTTATTTTAAATAGAATAGTATACCTGTTGTATTCGGCGCATGTGACAAATACAATTACATTTTTATAGTTATACTAGCCGTAAATTACATCAAGGCAGGCCAAAGATTAATTTAGCTGTCATCCTTTTTGGATCCTAAAATTAATATTTATAAGTGTCATAAATAATTGTCAGTTTTGAATATATTGAAAAAATTAATATCATAGTTTGTAATGGTTGTATTAAGATGCAGTTAGCTTATTTTGTAACCTTTCACGAATGTATTGCTTTTGTGTGTTATACAGGAGCCTGTATGAATGTGCATGTGACAGGAAAAGTTTATTTTCATTTATTGTTTTTGACTGCACTTTGCTCACTTTTAGGGATGGAGTGAGATGGGGACAAAGTTCACAGAGAGCACATGGGGAGGAAGAAGGTAAAAAAAAAGGACCTTTGAAAGCATAACAGCAGGTGGAGGGCTTCAACCAGACATCTCAGAACGAGACGCGAAGAAAATCAAACTGGTGAAAATGAAATGAAAGCAAACTTGATATTTTCCTGAACTGAAGAAAGACAGAAAAGTAATGACACCAGAAGCCAAAATGCTCTGCCTTTTGTGTAACAGCATGACTGCAGTGTGTCTGTGTTAGTGTGTGAATGTGTGTGTGTTTGTGACCTGTGGCCTGCATAGTCTGTGTGTTGTGTTAGCGAGGTAAGGTTTAGGCAACAGTGTAATGGAGGGAGAGGAGAGGAAAGTGGGAGCAGGGCCCGGCCCTGGGCGTCTGACTAATCTCCAGAACGAGCTGATCTGGGCTCTGCTGGGCTCTGGAGTGTCCCGGGAGGTCCTGGTCCAAGCACTGGAAGAACTGGAGCAAGAGAGGGTCACCCCTGGAACAAAGAAGGGGGACAGGGGAGATGGAGAGAGTTCGGAAGAGGGAGAAATGGATTTTCCACCCCCAATATTCCAGGAGCTGGAGGCACTAGCCCCAGAGGAGGCAACCAGACAGAGGGCTCTGGTCAACCAACTGCTGCAGTAAGTAGCTCCCAAATCTCTGCCCTCCGCCCTATCCTCCTCTCCTTAACCACATACACATCAATCTCTTCATTTCATCAAACTTCAACTATTAATACACACACCCATACAACAACAAAATAGCCACATCCCTTTGTTGTGCTATTATTCTCTCACACAAGCTTTCATTTCTCAAAACAATGTCTAAACAACTAATTTGTAAAACATTATTTAAAATCAAATACATTTTAGGGTGGTTACTTGATTCCGTTTTCCATTCTCTTTCTTTTCCTGATGTTTTCTCACCAAGACAAGAGTACCAATAAGTGAGAGTTTTACCTGGTATCATTTTCTTGGTCTTTATCAAATTTCTTCCCCCACTTCCCCCTTCCCCCTTCCTCCCTCATTCTCCTGCTCCCTCTCCCTCTTTGTGAGATCGCTCTCGCCCTCTGAGGTGAATTTAAAGGAGGGTTCCTCCTTTCCTGGTTACTAATTACCCACGCCATCATTATTCTCTGGCCATTTCTATCTCTGAATGAACTACATGGGTTAAGATGAACAGAAATGTGCTGTGTGTACTACTGTGTGTGTGTGTGTGTGTGTGTGTGTGTGTGTGTGTGTGTGCGAGAACAGATATTAGTCAATATTTACTACAACTTGGAAGGCCATTTAATTTTTACCACATTTCAAACTACAACAAATATCTCAGATTATGGTATAACTGCTCATTGTATATAGCTTAAAGTTGGCAATTTTACAACAACTAGCATGAAAACACAGAACTTAACCAATCATGCCTTAGTATCAAAATGTA